TTCAAAACCGGGCATTTCAAGTTCAGGGCCTGGCTTGCGTAACAATTTCCTCTTGAAGTCGAGGGATCGACCAAGTTTGTTGCATTGGGGGTTTGAAAATTTTCGGTTCAGGGCAATCAAAGTCGGCCCCAGGCACTTCTATGTCGGATTTGGAGCGGTTAATCACTGCTTGTACGTCTAAAATGTGATTGTGCAGCTGCAGGTTTTCATAAAGCCGTTGCCATTCCGGTAAAATAGCTTCTGTGGCTTTCGTTGTGTCTAAGTATTTCCCATCAAATCCCCTGTTCGATGGCTCGAAGCAAGGCCACTGATCAATGAGGAATTTGACAAAATTTGTACTCTCGTTAGTACAATGATGTTCGTGTTCTTGTCTAGCAATTTCAATTCGATGCGTCTCCTCCAATTTCTGGCGCTTTGAGCGCGCTTTAGGGACATGTGCGGCTCGGAACTGCTCGCAAAATCCTTTGACGAGGCTGATTAGTTCTTCCGTGGCGGGTGCTTGATTTATCTGAAATTCAGTAAATGATCGATGAGGAGGGTACTCCAATTCTTTGAGGTCCTTCAACAAAAAGAAGGCTGCTATCGTTCTCACGGCCCTCATGTCGACATTGTTGCCGAAGGCAACCGCACTTAAATAGAACATTAACCGGTACAAATTTTCGGGTTCACAGTTCCTGCAAAGATTGACTAACCCGCCCCATTCTTGACCAAGGTTCGCAGTTAAACAGTCCTGTATGAGATATGGGGAAAACTCTTTCACGTAGCCTCCAATCACTGGCCATTTCTCGAGAATCTTTGGTAAATTTGAAATGGCGCGGACCGGTAAACGATGGCAGAGTAAGTTTATTATTTCTCGAACGTTCGCAGTTCGCTTCGATTTTTTCCAGCCATCGCGGGCTTCATAAGGCGCATCAGGAGGTGAAACTAACTCGGCCAAAAGAAAGCCTGAGCGTTCATAGATTGACCGCCGCCAGTGGGATCGTTCACGAAGGTGCGCAACGTTCGATGATGCCTCCATAGGAGGACCTGTGGGTCCGAGCTGGAACAGTGACAATTGCTGTGACTTTGAAATGATCGAACTAATCACAGGTTCGTATGCCTCATGCTGGATGGTAGTAGTCAATTGAGGGTCCCAGGAGACAACTTGTTGACGTCTTAGATTTTTCGGATAATAGGCCCGTTTTGGGGTCAAGTTCAAAAGCCCCGTCAATATGTCGATGAGTTCCTGGCTCAGGGGGTTCCAAGGTTGGCTATATCCGGACTGTAAGCAGCATAAAGCCTCTTCCGTTCCGGTCCGGCCAGTCAGAGGATCTGGTAGGACGAAGGACGTGAATCCATGTAACTGTGCCTTGTTATACAATAACAGCGGTTCTGGCGGGCAGTGTAGCCGTCCAAGCACGTCATCTATAATGTACCTCGCGTAGCTTCCGCTATGCTCGATCTGCACAGTGACATGCGGCCCCAAACGTTGACAATGGACCTTGCCTAGTGTGACGACCACACTCCGTTGTGTATGATTGAAAACGTCACGAAAAACAAGCATGCTTTGTAGCCCGTACAAAGCCCCAACGTCTTGATTTGGATCCACCTCAGAGGCCAGCTGTTTGCATTGCAAGAGATTCCGTGGGTTAACATGGAAAGAAAGGTCCATGCGCTTTAGCTCAACCGCTAGGTTGTTGTATAAAGGCTGAAAAACAGTCAACATCTGGGGTTCCTCGAAATTGCGGAAGATTCTTGCTATAGATTTCGCCAGCTTACTGTGTGGATCGATGAGAGAAACTGTTCGTCGATGTGCTTTTCGGGTTTGGGAAGTTAAGCATCCAGTTACCGGGCCTAGTTTTCCAAGTATGCGGTTGACGTCTCACTTCAAGCATTCCTGACCGTATATCGATCCAGTGGACGCAATCATGGATCAAGGATCCCGGCAAATCTAAATCGTGATCCTTGCCAAATACTTGCCGAGAAACATATTCAAGTATTGTGCCTGGCTTGCAAGCTTGGACCACTAATTGTTCCTTTCGATACCCCAGATGAATTTGATATTGGTCGAATAAGGACCCTAGGACATAGCTCATCCCAGGCAGATTGGAAGGGAAAGCTAATAGCCGCTGGTTACCAAATAACTCTTTCATGACTCCCGAATCCCTGATATCTGCTGGTAACTTCCCCATCGGCTTTCCATTAACTAATAGATGGCCTTCAAGCAAGTGGAAATGTACGATCTGTGACACTGTGTAGTGAGTAGCCTTCACTGTTGATGTAATCCACCAATCAAACGGATTCGGCAAAAAGCTCCATTTGGTGTATACTTGAGAACTGGCTGCTGCTTTTGGCCAAAATGCCTCAATTGCCGATTCGAGACTGCGGGGATACTTCGCGACCAGAGTTCGTAGAAGTGGTCTCATCCTATGAGCCATTTTGATATCGCGTACCAACAGGTTGTGGGTTGATGCTGAGAATTTATTCAGGTTTACAACCAGGTTCTCTTGCATAGCGAGAGTAGCTTCGACAAAACATTCAAATGACTTTGCATCTAACTCCTGTTCACCATATGCCTGGGAGGTAAACGTCCTGCGGCATAGTAGCGCAGCCATAAAACCATATCGGGCGGCTTGCTCAGCGACATCGGCTTCTTTGGCGTTTCTTATCTCGTCCCGCAGAAGGGCAATCCAGGTGAGCGTTACCTGACGAATTTTCATCAGAAGCCCATTAGCTTGTGCCATCATTTCTTCATTCCCAAGATTGCATAGCCGGATAGTTAGCGTTAGTAAGGTCTCCATATAGTTATTTTCACGCCAATTAGGGGAAATAATGTTAAGGTGCTTGCCAATTTGCTCAATTAGCTGGCTGCAAAAAGACGCGTCCCTGAAAATAACATGGACCACTCGGAGGCTATCACTTTCAAGCCTAGGTCCCACTTGCAAGGCAAGGTGATGCAAGAGAACCATGGTGTCCTTAAGGCTGAAATTCAGATTTGAAGAACCGAGTTCAGTGAGAATAGAGATCCAGCGTCTATTGTTTCCCGAAAAGAGAGCCTGGTGTGCTGTGAACTCGTGTACTGTAAGTTCAGAAGGGCACTGGTTTATACTTGCAACGACCTCATATGAGGAAGGGCCAGCTCCATCAGGTGCAAATGCAGGAGACGAGTAAAGGCTTGAAAACGGGAGCTCCTTGGGTAAATTAATTTTGTACCGATGTGAAAAATTCAACGGATAAGGCAAGTTTTTAGCCCATAATTTACGAGACGAGTCGTAGTACGAGAAGATCAGTCCTAAAGGTAACAAAACCGCGGTAGCACTTGCGGGTAGTCTTTTCCCCTTATAATGGGTCCCCAACCATGATTTGGTATCCGATGCTAGAGAGAAACCACGGTACACAGTTTTGTTGTTGTATGTCTTGAGCTGGGAATATTCGCAGAGTAACTTTTCTGGCGGTTTAGTAGTCGAATGCCCTGGCTTGGGACACAGCGTAAGGAAAATATTCCAGGTCGTATTACGGTAAACCGAGTATGAATTTGGAACTCCCAACTCAAATAGGACGGCACGCTTTTGGACATCATCTTGAGGGAGAAAATCCTCGTGGACCGCAATTTTGAGGCGCCTGAGAGATCGTATATAAAAACAGTGTGAACAGCCTTGGATGTCATGGGTTCCATCTGCGTGCTGCTTTCGGGTACATATGCTTTGCATTTTCTGTTCTGTGAGCGTCCGATATTTGGCATTCACTCTATTTAGTTCAGCTTCCGCTCTGCTTCGAGCCGATTGGGAGTCGGCTTTGATACGGTGTTCCAATCTCTGGAGATTAGCGGCAGCATCAGATTTGAGGTAGCGATCCGCAAAACAGCCTTGCACGGGGTCAGAGAAAATAGTCATTTTCCCATTTCGGGCCCGTGTGCAACGCTGATGCAGGTACGACTGAATGGATTGAAGGCGCTTCATGTCGCTTAATTGTGATAATAACAATATATCAAGCATCTCTGGGTGGAAGCATGGGTGATATCTCTTTAACAAAGGGAACAAAAGCGTCGCGCATTTGTCCATGTGAACCCACATCTCGAATATGTTCAGGACGAAAATACTTAAATGCTCCGAATCTTCATCGCATGCATTCGCAAAGGCTTTCGAGTAATCTTCGATTCGAGTTGCCAGGCTCATACATAGCTTTTCCAGCTCAGCGTCTGAACTAGGCACGGGAGGTAGATTGGATTCGACGCTCATCTCAAAATCCACGAGTGTAAGGCACTGAGCAGTCAACCCCCCAAAGTGTCCTGTTGTGCTCTTGGCAAGAACATCGTTACTCACAACCAGCTGTGGCGATATCTTGGGACGAGGCTGATGAAGGATTTGCTCAAGGTATCGGGTGCTGTTAGGCAGTGTCAAATATAGATCTTTTTCATCGGCCCGAAGCGGTAGACGAGGTATTTGACGCTGGATTTCTTTTTTAAACGAAGCCCAACCCTTTTCAATAATCGCCGCGGCGTTATCAATAGATCGTTGGCATAGAAGTCCAATCGTCCCGAAAAGATGCACATACATGGGGCGCAAGGTTGGGTTTGAGTGGGCTTTATCTGCCTCTAATTTGGCTAGACGGCGGCAAAGTTTGGTTTTGAGCAGTGTGCACAATTCTGGGCTTAATAAATCAACAGACTGGTCAAGTAGCCGGGCTAGTACAAAACACATCATAAACTTATACTGCGCACGCCCAATCTGATCACCAATGGTCAAATAAAGCAGTCGTTGTACGCACACTCGGAGGACAAGCCAGTATGGACTTCGTCTCCATGGAAGCTCCGAATTGTCCCAACAGACATCATCGCGGACGCGTTTTCGAAGTACTGGTGGATGTATTCGTGCACCGTTTGTCTCAAGTAACGTCATCAGGAATTGCGTGATTAAAGCAGGATCAGAAGTGTCACGCTGTTCAGAGACCGTCACTCCAGCCTTCTGCGTTTTGGCGGAAAATTCATCAAGAACCTCAAGGCTGGCTTTCTCTAAGAATGTCGTGAGACTGTCTTGAAAAACAGGATTTTCAAATTCCGAGGGAGGTATGGATACTGCTACTCCAGGGAAGTCCCACTGTAAAGAACCTTGTGATTTTAGAGTCTCCTCGGCGGCTGGAGACGCCTCAAAGGCTTCAACAATAACCTCTCCTCCGTCACTGTTGTTATGTTAAAACGGGACCGGAAAAGGAATTGTGAGAGTGCCCACCTAGAATATCGTATGAGAAGCCCCGCATTTTGATTTGCGATGTGCAAAACAATAGCATGAGCCCGCATATCCTTGAACGCTTCCAGGAGTACTGCCTTGCTCACATATCGACCCTCGTTTGCAAGCCTGGCTGTCTCCAAGGTCTTCGCGAGATAACCTAAGCATTGTGAAATGCCGGGGCTATCTTCGAGTGCCGCAGCTGCATCGAATAGACGCGAGGCCAAGTCCCTCTCCACATCTTCGACTGCGCTGTCTTGCTTTCCAGGAAGCTTGGGAGGTAACACAATATGGTTAAAGCTCAGAGCTATAACCTCGGACCGACTGCTCATCGCTGAAGTCCGCGGTCCAAAGACCGTGTAGCATGAATCCGTTAGATATTGAGCTCGAAAATCAAGGTGAATCGGTGAAGGGAATGTGAGAATATTGCTGTAGAAATGAAGCAAGCAAACATCAGGGTGAGCATTTCATTTGAATGCGCGAAGAAAATTTTCTGGCGTCAGCAAAAGAATACGCTTCCTGGCACAGGACCATTTTGACGGAACCTGCCATCGAAGCAACCCATGGGTGGGGAGGCTGCTGTGCTGTCTGGAGTCGATTTGCATTGCCGCATGAACCCTAGCCTATAGCTAGGCGCCAGCCTTGGATCAACCCAATTAACCACTTAGATCTATGGTAGATTTCTTGACGCTGGCACCCGAAAAGCGCGGGGCGGTGCATATTTATGTGTGCCCCCTGCAACGAGCTCGAATCAAAGCCGCTAGTGGGTGCTTGTTGGTTGTCTGATTTCATTTTGAACTGCTTCCCCTCAAACTTCATGGGGCCAAGTTCCCAAAATGCTACAACCTAGGGAGGAACCCCTCAATGACACAGCCTGAAGCCGAAATTCCTTTCTCCATCTGTAACGCGGATAGGTGAGCTCGATCAGGTATGATATCCATGTCGTCCGTGTCGTCGTCGGGAACACCCGACGTTCCAATTTTGGAACCGTCGCAGTCACGTGAATCTTGTTTGCCATGTTTGCACTGGTTGATTAGCCCCCCTTTTCGGATATCAACCTGTTAATATCTAGGGAAGAGAGCTGGTTGGGACCCTATGTGACTATGTCAAAGGAAAATGGTCGCTACTGCGCATCTAGGTTATATAACTAATCCTTATAACTAAGTCTGCATGGTGCCAGATGGACTTCTATTGGAACATGCCTTATTATGCTCGTTGCATATTATGAGGTCCTTACCCAGCAGTTGGATTGACTGCTCAGTGCTTGTATCCCTAGAAGCGCTTATTGTCTGATCCGAATTTCTAGATATCCACCAACCCAAGCAAAATGCAGCACTGTTTATTGCACCACAAGGCTGTAGATCACATAGCTGCGCTAAAAACGTATATGGAGTTCTATAACTGGACAAAACCGCATAAACTAAGAAGCAAAGTTTTTACTTTTGCATACCCGTGGCCCTCCATTTCATCCCCCGAGTCTGCAGGAACCATAAGACGGGCACGCTGGTTAAGCAGAATGCTGCATAGATTGTGAAGCACCAGCCTAGGCCAACACCATCAACAATGGGTTGAAGGGCAGCAACCCCGGCTCCAGCGCCAACGCAACGGACAAGATTATAAGCTGCCTGAGCTGTCGATGATTTATCCGGGTTGAGGTCCGTAAGGAGCGTCCCGCAAATCTTAAAGCAGGAATCAGGTTTGGCTTGAAATGACATCTGCAAGGGAGACAGATACATACCGTGAAGAGGCTAGTAATCGTTAATCCGCTAAGAAACTGCATAACAAGTGGAACGGCAATGTGCTAGAAGAGCAATTAGAACATTTGGCCTATAGAAAATGGCGAGGGGAGCTGGATCTCACAGTTTTCTTGTGGAGTGCCCATCCATATCCCAGAACAGCCCCTGAGCTTATTATTATCAAATACCACACGCTTCGAAGTCTAGTCTTTTCCAATGGGAAATCTTCATTATTCTCCGCAGCACGCAGGGTAGTATCACGACCTAATTTCGCCGCAACACGTTTATAGTCCCGGTCAAGTAATTTTCCTTTTTCCAAATCCAGAGAGTTAGATATAACGGTCAAATAAGAAAAATAGGAGCAAATTACCAGTAACGTAAGATGAAATCATCCCTGCAATTCCCGATGGCAAGTAGATTAAACCAGCCTGGAGATAATTCAAGTTATAAATCTCAATGCATTGGGCCGAGAGAGAAGCACCCAACGTGCGAGAGACCGTGTAGTATATTGACCCAACTAAGATGATAAACAGCGAATTCTTGCGAAATAGAATAGGGATGCAAGTTAGCGGGTTAGGAATGCGAAACTTCTTTTTCGCCAATGGCTTCGAAGGATCAGCGATATCACCAGATCGTTGCCTTCTTCCAGTAATGAGCGAGAATAATGTTCGATGAATACCGCGTGCCGGTACGCTTCCATTGGAGACTATCTTTCGCGAGGTCTCGGGAAAGAAGACGGCCAAGAGAAGAAGGTGACTCCCAGACAGGATGACGAGAAACCAGAAGATCCACCTCCAGTTGAGTTTCTCAGCAAAGATTCCTCCTATAATAGGGCCAAGGCTGGGAGCGGTGCAGGTGCTGCGCAAATATCATAGTTAATTCACATCCATCAACCAATATTAGAGCAACAAGTACCCACAACATGAGCAAAATCCCAACATATGAACCACGCTCAGCTGGGGTGGCAATGTCAGCAATAACGCCATACGCTGCAGCAAAAGTCCCTAGGTAAATGGTTTAGTATCCAAGTATTGGCCGATAAAAGGGGTCCCGTAAGTCATACCAGAAGATCCGGCACTCTGCACCATTCTTAGCACTAGTAACGCAGGGAACGACGTCTGCAAAGCAAGACCGATATTCGCTGCCACATACAAGGAGAAAGTCAACAGATACACTGGCCTTCTCCCGGTCTGATCGGCCATATCACCCATAAAAGCCGGCGCCACACCAGCAACGATAAGATACGAGGTAATAGTAAGATTAATCAAGCTCAAAGAAGTAGAGAGTTCCCGACCCAGCGGGACAATAGCAGGATAGTATATAACACTGCTCAACCCGGAGAACATTGCGGCATAGGAAGCAGCATAGCTTATTAGCCGTTTTTCGGTTTTGGTAAAAGCAGAGAATGGGGTATCAGCACTACAGCCATTTGCTAATATTTCAGCTGTGTCGCTAGTATTTTCTGCAGTTATAGCCTTTTCAGGGCACGAGATTTGGGCATTGGCGGCCATATTGAACAGCGCCGAAACGTGAAAGCAAAAAGCAATGCAGAAGGGAAACTGGAGTGTCAAATCTTCCTGAAATAACGGATAAAGAACGTTGTTTTTTTTGGAGGGGAGGTGATACCCTCTATTTGAGTGAATGAAGGCCTGGCGTCAACGGGCTGTCAACTCCCGGTTGAACGCCACAAGGAATTAATCCTTGTCAGCTCGGGGTCTGTCTCTTCCCCATAACCACCATGCAGGTGGGTGATCCCAGGGATGATTGGCCATCCTCAGCCGCCTTGCACATTCACGATAATCTCAAATTCAATCCAGCGGCGGCGCTCCGGACACTATGCTATACATAGCATTGGCGCCAAATTATATCCTATTAAAATTCAGGTTTAAGCGCCCATGGTCGAAAATGGTGGCTTTCTTCCCGTTTCTAATGTATTCAAAGAGCAGAATCCATGTCAGTTGAACACATGAGCTATGTCAAATAAATGATCTAAGGATCTTTCCCTTTGATCCCTAAAAGAGGGACAGGTACTTGAAACCGTAGTCCCTGGTGGAAAATAACAATATTTTCCCCAACCACAATAGCGACGCTTCCACTGGAGGTAACGTAATACATGGAGTGTCTGTTTTGGTGCCAGGTGAAAGGAATAAAAAAATGGCGGCAGCAAACTTGTCTTTTCTTTCTGTGCTTTCAAGGTCAACGGAGCAGACCCAACTCTCCGAGTCGAGAAAGAGGAGAAATGTCATATATTCCCCAAGGATCGCCTTGATACCATGGGGAAAAAGCTTATACTGAGCCTCCGATGGTGCCCGCGTGGCATCAGGCGTGATGTTGGCCGCATCCCATAGCTCTAGCTCACTAGCATAATCGCGCTCATTGTACTCCGCTAGGTAAAAAGCCCCAACTTTGTTTGCTTCGTTGTTGCATACTATTTGGGACACGAAGTGATCAGTCCTTGACAGCGACTCTAAGTGGATGCCATCCTCTCCGCTGACCATAGTAAATTGCGCCCAATCGTAGATAAAAGCTTTCCCGCCCTTAATCAAAACTAGGTGGTCAGCATTTGTTGGATGTTTAATCCACTGGCGTTCGTCCTGTTGTGCGATCCGATTGATTTCTAGAGAATAAGCGTCAATAGTGTAGACAACATCTGTCAAGGCAGTCGACACAAGGAGGCGGTCCCCGCGCTGATTAGTCAAAATCTGCTTAATATCACTGCTCGTGCGTTTATCCAGCAGTGTATTTCCAACACTCCATTCTTCCCCTGGTTTCCGTGCAACCCCCCTACAAATGAATCGACATGAAACATCTGCGCTGGTCAGGAGAGAAGCATCCGCATTCCAATCGAGCAAATGAACTCTGATGAAACGCATATGTTTGCAAAGCTCATGAACAAGATTTCCAGTTTCTGTTTCATAGACTGCAATCGAACCATCAAAGCGTCCGCAAAATAGGTATTCATCTTCTTGATGGCCGGTAATTGCTGAAATAAAGCGATCGTCATCTAGGTGTCTAGCATTCTTGTGCTGCATGGGCGGAAGCATTTCTTCGCTACAAGGCTCAGTGGACGTATCGTCCGAAGTCTCTCTGACAACCAATATCGACGGCTCCCACACATTGCATCGGTTGGCTCTAATATCAAAAAAGCGAAGGCCACTCGAATTGAAGGCTATCGCCTGGATATTATGGCTATCCGATGTGATACGATAAGAAAGCCTCAACGTCTCGAAATTAAATAGATGTATGGTTCCGTATGAATCACCGGTCGCTAGGGTTCGTCCATCGGGAGAGACAGCTAGAGTTTGGCAGAGAAGTGGAAATTTTTCAGCTTCTCTTTTCGCCAAAAATTTATGCACCACTAGATCACCATCGTTGTACGCAACAGCCACTAGGCCTGCTTGCGAGTTTGGATGGAAAGCAACAGCATTGACATGAGGGGAATCGTACACCTTTTCATAACCCTCTTTTAATATTTTCTCTCGAGTTCGATAGACCATATTCAAAATGGTCATGGGCCTATTGCGCGAAGCTATGGCGACAATATCTAAACTGGGCGAGAACCAGGCAGAAGAAGTCTTTTCCACATCTGCATTGTCTCTACCTGAAGTAGAATAGCTGATGCTATTCGTTATTTTTCCATCCGAGGCTTGAAAAACGGAGACACCGTTTCGGGTGGCAAGCGAAATCGTAGAATCGTCATGGTTGAAGCCGAGGGCCATAGGAACCAGATGGGCACCCCTGTCAAAGGTCCAAAGTCGGTCTCCCTTATGCGTATTCCAGAGAACAAGCTTGTTTGTCGAGCAAGATGCTAATAAAGGATTCAAGTTTGCGAAGGAGAGTTTTCCCACGGCCCCGGGATGTTTCAGGGTTCTGATATATTTGCATGTTGTACTCCGGTACATAACTATCGTGCCGTCTGATAGTCCAACTGCAAAATATTCGGTACCACAGGCAACTGACATAGTTTCTTCGTCCGCGTAGCTGAAGCTGGTTAGGCGATCGTCCCAATTATTTTCAATGATGCCCACAGCTTTAAGGCAACCAGGATGGTCCCCAAACTGGCTATAAATGGCCGAATTACGCGGGCAAAGTGGTGGGACCAGAAAGTGAACCGATTTTGGTACTGCAACAAGGTTGTGAGCGAATAGGGCGCCGATATGGATGAGATCATGTATCCAAGCCTCCACTATTTGCACTTCCCTACCTAGCGGTGGCAAGTACTTTGCACGGCGAGCTAGGAATGACTTCAGATTTTTTGCAGTGTGAGCCAGAAGGGTGATGTTTCCCGCTTGCGCGAGGCCCTCAATCCATGCCAAAACATTAGGCGACTCGAGGAAATCGCTTAACAAAACCAGGAGAGAGTCTATCTGAGAAGAGGATTTGAATATATGGTCAGAAAAATGAGCAATAGCGTACTTAGCGAAAGGTGAAAGGTAGGTTGGTAAACCTGGGGTGTCTTCTTGACGTGTCTGAGGCTCATAGAATTCCTTTCCTGAAAGGAAACTTAGGCAAACTTCCGCGATCCGAGCATGTTCTTTCTTTTTTTCCATCGCAAAATCTGATACCGGACAGTTATTCGTTAGAAATGCGCCCACTGTTTGGTGTACAGGTTGGATTCGGGAATCATCATCCAAGTAAATTAAATGCCCGGAGTATGACTCGATTCCAGTTCTCAAGGGACGCGGAGTTTCGAGGACATCGAAATAGAGTCCATCCTTAAATTCGTCCAGAGTAAGCGGCCTAATAGTACAGAGACTCCACCTAAATATAGCTTTTGCCAGCATTTTGTCAACAACATCGCTCGACAGCGTGTTGGCTAGGTTGTCCAATATTTGTTTGTACAGATCGTTCATTCCAACTGGTACAAGGTCGATACTACTTTGTATCGTGCTTAATCGACGTGCCCGTTGTAGTTGGGTCAGAACCAGCGCGGCCCATAGGAAGCAGCCGTTCGATTTCGACACAATCTGTGTGAGGAGGCCCTCAAAGTTTGATTCACTTTGAAGGAAGTGCATCCGGGCCCTCAAAAAGCGTTCGATATCCTCTAGGGAATCTTTGAGACTCATCTGCTCTGCAAACACCGGTACGGTTAATTCGTTTTCGGTTTCCGGCACGGAGCGATTAGTGGCGAAAACTCGCAATGGCGACAACTGGCCAACGTTTGATAGCAGGCGGATTAAGGCGGCGTAGTCATCACATTCGTCCAAGGCGTCTATAACCCAATAATGTGGCTGCTGGAAGTTCGTACGTAGGATTCGGGACAGGTACAGAGCACGCCATATAGAGTTAGGGTCATTGCTGTCAAAATCTTCACCGTCGCTCGCCATCCTTAAAAGTAACTGGCGGATATTTGAGTCGGAACATGCCATTTGGAAAGCGAAAGACCGCAATAGGTGGCAAACTGAGGATTTTGTCCTGTTGCCACGTTTGAAGAAATAAACACTGCACCCCAATTTCTTACTCTTGATATACTGGGCGACATGCCCCGAGACGATAGTTTTCCCTGTCCCCGGTTTGCCGCTAAGCCAGAATAGCTTTGGAGTCATCAGGCTGTTGGACATCTCAGATGATCTGTTATGGTCGCCGGCATCAGAAATGGCAAACCAGTCACGAAATGTAGTTCTATTTATTAGCCATTCGCAAGAACCTTCCGTTTTGTTTTCAGTAATTTTGGCTAACTCATTATCTTGTTGAAATGTGTCGGAGAGATATTCGGCTACTATCTTCAACTCCGCTTTCAAATTATCGCGAAATGGTATAGGAGCTTTGAAGTAGTAAGTTAGCGGAAGTATATTGCTAAAAAGTATATAGCCTTCGGCTTACTATGATTCTTTTCAATGGTGGCCATGGCAGCTAGCAAACCACGGCAAAGCGTTTTGTAGTTGGCGTCAGATTGTTTGGTGAATTTCGCCAGATGGCGATGGTCAGTATCGAGATGTCTCACTTGTTCGGATGGGAGGCCTAAGTTTTATGAATCAGAGATGAAACAAGATTAGACTTAGAGAAGCTGCCTTCTATTGCCAATCATACCCATAATTGCAGAGTCTCTTTCAACTATGATTTGACGGGAGAATCCAAGATCCGTTTCAATCCTTTCGAAGTACGATCGAATGTAAATCCCCTGATATGTATGCCTAAAAGCATCATTTATATCCTATAAATTTCAGTCAAGTTCATCCTTGAATAGTAACGGCATAAAGGAACAAACCTGCAACATTGCTGAATTCGGAACTAGCTCGTCCACAAAGGCTTTCGAGCCATGCATTCCAGGCAAGTATAACAAGCTTTTGAGAAGATGCACGGAATCGGCGCCACGGTGCGGCGTACCAAGAAAAATCATACCGCGTATGCGTTTTAATACAGCCTCGCAAGTTGGGTCATCTCTGGCAAGTAGGTAGGCCTGACTCTTTAGTTAGAGTCTTAGGTATGAACTCGGGTTGATGAGTGATGTCAAACCTTCTTTACCACAAGGCCGCCCATACTGTGAGCAACGAAGATAATAGGAGTCTGCGGTCTCTGTTATGATTATCTGCGGCCCATCAAGGACGGGAATTTACTACTCACGTCAACAGTCTTTTGTACATGCGAGTAATCGCAAATATCCGCTAATAAGGCACGCCCGAAATCATGGATATTGACTGAGTGACCCTTACCGGCCCACCTAGAGTCGTACCCGTAGGTATATATTCGGGCATGTTCGAAGCCTTCTTCGTGCGGAAGCCATTCTTTCGGCCAGTAGCTCGCGGCTGCATTTGAGATATTCCAAGTCTTCTGGGAGCCGCCGCCGATTCCATGAACCTGCAATGATTGAAACAAGTGTCAGCAAGTGAAACCTTGGATTCTGGTACAATACACACAAATATAAGATCGATATGAGGCGCTAAGGGCTCATGAAGTAAGGTCAGTCCTAGAGGGTTTTCAACTCTTTCCGGCGAATCAGTTGCGAGCTCCGTCACTCTTGAGGCAGCGCGCCGCCGTTCGATAAAGGACAGCGGTCTTATCCGTCGGTCCGCCTCATACACGGAGCCTGTGGGTTTGTTTATCTGTTGCAGCAATATAAGAAACCATCCGAATTCATCAAAATCATCTGGGGTCGTACTGAGGTCATCGGCGATCATTTGGCGCGTTTTCACTAACTATCCGTCCCAGAACGATAAAAGAAGCGCTAAGCGAGGAATACTTGTCGACATGTACGGAGAACCTGAGATAGGAATAAGCAGACCGACATGAGCGTTTACCAACCTAAATCTCAAGCGAATTTCCCGGACAAAAAACATATGCTCCACGAAATGCAGCGAGCGAAAAATGGCCACAGGTCGACAGTCGGTTGCTCACCCCCCACATCTCCGGGCATCCTTGTCGTATCGAGACGCTGCGAGGCTTCCCTGCCGCCCGTTGTGGGACAATGCACGTTCAACACTTGGCGAATCGCAGGTCGATGGTTAACTAGCGGCTTTCCGTCTTCTCATTTGAAAAGCGATTATTATTAATTTTAGTTGCTAGGAGCTAGAGAGGGTTCGGTACGGCCCGGTTTCCAGAATCATTCGAAGTGTGCTGTTCGGATTCGATATTTTATCTTTTTAGATTGAAAATGAATGTCAGTGCATCCATTAACTAATGAACCCCAGGACAATAATGTCAAGCTTGTGAACAACTGTCAGAAACCCGATAAATTACTTTTTGCGTGTCCTACTCCGTGCCTGGCCACTCACTGCACTCAGAGGATCATGCACCCCGAGAGGGGGGACAGGGATGTCGCCTCGTCTGCTAACCATGAGAGGAAAGGATCCCAACCTCGGGTAAGAACTTTCAAAATCCCCTTAAGTGTCATTTTGTGGCCCACTGACTGTGATTTGTTCCGGAAGTCTTCCAGTTTTGACGGATATATACCCTTAGATCGACAATGGCACAGAGAAAATCGTCCCAAGCCGACAAATTCGGTTATAATGTTGGTATAGATGACAATGTCATGGCCCGTGGGTAGCCCTCCCTAGAGTGATTGCTAGAGACGAGTCAGCTTATTTGTTGTTATTGGTTGATAAGAGCTTCCACCTGGTTCGAAAATCAGATGTGTGGAACCAAGCGGTTCGAGTTTATGGGTACAAACTGTGCGAATTGAAGTCGAGTTGCCCGATGGAGAAATAAAAGCCTACTTCAAAAAGGTCGGCACTAGAAATCTGCTATTAGCTTTCGGGTTTAGTCGCTGACGCCGCTGGAATAGGGGGCGGAGGGCGAGACCGGCTATAAGATGATGAAAGGGTCCTTCGAGGGGGAAGTTGCATTGCATGAAGCCATTCCGGAGCATGTACCAAAACCAATCGCCTGGGGGACATATAAATCCCAGCCGAACGTTCACTTTTTTCTCAGTGATTTCGTTGATATGATAGAACGCCTCCCAAACGCACGTAAGTGGGGAGAAGCAGTTGCTAGGCTCCATTCTCGGACAGCTGGGAAGTCTCCTGAAGGCAAATTTGGATTCCATGTTACCACCCATCTTGCAAATGTTCCTGTTAATAATACGTGGAACGCCTCATGGGAAGCCTTTTGGGCTCAGCAAATGAAGTCCCTCCTTGACCGTGAGGAGGACGTACGCGGGCACAATGACGAGTTGTCTGCCCTTAAGGTAGCTTTCTTCGAGAATGTTATACCGCGTCTGCTACGCCCTTTGGAATCAGGCGGAAGAAGGATAAAGCCGTGCCTTGTCCATTCGGACTTATGGCCAGGAAATATCCAGCACAGGGCAGAGGGGAGCAACCTTTGCCTTTTTGACAGCTGCGCCTACTGGGGACACCATGAAGGTATGATTCTTCGCACCGGTTGCATAGACAAACTTGGTCAGTAAAAAACGGTTAACAATCGTGCAATCGCGTCCAGTCGATCTTGCTATTTGTCGAAACCCTCGATATCGCTTGGGCAGGGATCATATAGATGCGTATGCGAGACGCATGCCGGAATTCCCATCGCACCCGAAAGATGAATTCGATGATCGGAACGCTTTATACGCCTTGTATGAGTCCCCGTTTACGATTTCGCTTCTGACTAACTGATGGTCGACGCATAAAGGAAATTCCACGTCCTCCTCTCAATCATGTACCACCATGAACCTCGCTATAGGCAGATGTAAGCCCGCCCGTGACCCAACAGCTCCTGTACCTGATGTCCAGAATGATAGTTAGCCGAAACTAACAAACAAGAACAGTGCCATCGATGAAATCCGTCAGCTCGTTGAGAAATTTCCCAACGGGTACGCAGATTATGAAGCAAAGGCCGTCCATGAACCTGAGCTCATCGAGAGTCCCACGCTCCTGGACGTCGCACCGCGCTTCACAAAAAGTGAAGTCGTGAAGACAGTGAAAAAGCCGATGCCAACTGAAAAGGCGGAACACCAACACGTGAATGATGACAAAGAGGCTCAAGCAGCGCCGGCGGAGTCTCACATGGAAGAGCCGGGGCGGAATTTCCTTGGCGAAATTTCCGAAAATCTTCCGCTTCTAATATTTGCGGGTTTTTGTCTTCTAGTAGTTCTAGCTGCCTACTTTTTGGAAATTCGCGTTTCTGTTAGGGCAAGGGCCTAGTGTCTAACTTAATGGGTAAAAGGTGGGAAATTTAAGCTGGACACAGACTCAATGGGACGGAAGGATTGGAACCTAACTTGCCTGATATAAATCCAGATTCTGCTGAGTCGAACTGTTATGAATGACTGCATGACAAAGTTGTCAAAAAAAGGCGATATTCTGGACATATTGTCAACCGATATTATCAATTATGTATTAAGTTCTCGAGTAACGTCATATAATCAAATTGGTTATCTTATCCCAGCATGAGGTACCCGAATGTTTGAGACAAGAGAAAAATACAGCCAGAAGATGCGCTCCGGAGGTCAATATGGGATTTGTCGCGAAGTGGAACTTAAGGCGCCGGCAATTAAAGGGAATAATAGTTGGGTGCTCCGAGGGTATCTCAACCGTTGTCGAAAGGATAGGTTAAAAAGAATAGAAAAATAAGGAAGTGGAAGGGATATATCGAATGACTTGGACTGGGATAATAGGAGATAAAGAGAATCGAATCAAAATTGGGGTAAAAGTAAACAAAGCGAAATTCGCGCGTAGGCGTGTAACGTAGATGGGTAACATCGAGGAAACTGGTCCCAAAGAAGATGAAACTGCTTTTCAAGAAAGGAAATGATATAACTCTAACATAGCAGCACTGGGTATTCGTAATCGAACGGCACGAGTAGCTATATATCGTATTAGTCGAGAAGGAAAAGGCGTTATCAGGCCTTCTTCTTATAATGCACTTTCCACTCCGCTTTCGCAACGCGCATAAACAGTTCAATGTCTTTAATCGGGACCCAACTCGTCAGCACCTTCATCGCATTCTCGAAATCGGAGTCTAGAATGATATCGCGCATGCCGTCTATTAAAGCAGCTGAAGTGGCATGCAAAACGTCAAGACTGCGTCCAAATGGCTTCGCACTGGTAACTGTGGACCCTTGTTGACCATCGACGGAGGCACTGATGGAGGTGGCCGGCCTTGAATTTGTCACATCGCCTGAGTCGCCAAGAAGCATGAAGACATCCCACACACGAAGCTGAGCGGGAAATGGTATAGAATAGTTGAACAATGTTAGATACCATCGAGTTCCGTAAGCAGTTGGCGGTATGCCAAGTTCAGTCTAGCATTCAAGTTAGTAGTCACATACATTGTCGAGAATGGGTGGTGATAACATACCAACTTCTCTGCCACTTCGCCTCGTTCCAACCACTCGCTTTCAAAATTTCCTAGTGCTTCCATCAACCCGGAGAACCCAGATCGGTACAGCCGGTCCAAGCCCCTAAGCTGCCAGAGCCTCACTAACATAATGAAGGCATGCTCTTCATCGTAGTAGGCCAGCAGAGTTGCCGCCAAAGAAGCCATGCCCTGAACATAGCCGGTGTCTGGGAAGTAGAGAGACATGGCATGAAGGACACGGAATAACAATCTTTGACCGCCTCTGTAACGCCGACGGAACATTATGTGGCTGCTTATCGTGCGTGGAACATCGATGTCGATTTGAAGATCATCGGGCGAGGGTTCGTCCTGCAGCTCATTGAAGCGGCGAATGAGTTCTTCGTCTGTAGGGCTGCCTTTTCGTTTGTTGGCACTTGCAGTAAGGAACGCATGCCATGCTGTAGCCCTCCACCTATCAGGAATTCCCTTCCAAGTCCGTTCGATAAGTTTTGGGCTACTGATATCAAACTCAAAAGTCATCCCGGCACCGTCCTTTTTCTTAGATGTTAGTTTTGCCATTTTCCTCCACTTTTCTTCTCTTTCCCACTCCTTTTTCTTCATCGCACGAGCGTAGGGTGTGTCGTCATCATTGGTCATTTCTCTGTCTATTGAAGCAGGGAGCGTTAACATGTCGCTGGCTTCGTCCATCAATTTTCGGTCCCTGTTGTGAGGCAATTTATTGGTAGCATATCTGAACTTGGACGTAGACCTGGTCAGGTTTGGTTGATAAGAGCTCTGAGATGAACTCGGTCTGTTAGGTTGCTCCGTTGACTTTCTTGACGGAGAGCGACCGGAAAAGGACCGAATACTGGCAGCCACAGAAGGCGTCCGTCGTATTGTTCGCTTCCTACGCGGAGAAGCAGCAGCAAGCATCAAACTGGTTGACACGCGTTGGAGCGGCTGCGGTGGACTGGGATCTGCGCCGTTTTCGGTGTCCCGTCGGGGAACAATGAAACCATATCTGTCCACATCTTCATTTTTGACATTTTCCCAGTCTTCTATACCTCCGGCTAGCTCGGTCGCTTCCCGGGTGAAGCTATTCCGTCGAGACCCATTTCTCGTCAAGGGATTAGCCAATTCAGTCGTAGAGCTGTGACGTGTAGTGGGTGTCCGACCTCTACTCTCTTCTATGGATGAAGCTTCTTCCCAAAGGACATCTTGCTCCACGTTCATCAACTGGCTAATTTCAGACTCATCAATGTCGGCGTCGCCAGTTTCATACATCAACCTAACCTTGAAAGAGAGTATTTCCTCATCGGCAGAAATGGGTCGACTCGAGGTAGTACTTGGCCTACAACGTAGCGAGTTCGCAGATCTAATTCGCCTTGTGCTTGTAGAACGCGGGGCTGTCGCGTCACTGACAGTGAGACAACTTTCAGGCGGATTGATCGGCTTTTCGGCCGGTTCAATAGGATTCACTGATTGTAAATCGTCAACAGTTGTCGTGGTGATGTCCTCCAGTGAGCCTGACGGTATATCCAGCTTTATTCCACGAAACGGCTCAACAACAGGCAGCGGTGGCACCGATGGGACCTCGCTTCGCATTTGTCCCTTCCGACCACCCCATCGCAAACTCCGCTCCGATCTTCGAGAACTTGGCCGATGAGGTGCATCATTCACGACAATACTCGGTATACGAGACGTAAACCTGAAACTGGCTATGGACCGAGCGTCGATCGAAGGCCTGGGTTTGCTAAAACTCGTCCGTGGGAGCGCTGTGTTGGGTCTTAACTTGTCCGGTCGAATTGTTTCGGTCGGCGATTTTGGAGAGGCGTCTGGTCGCTTCAGCTCATCAGAATCCAAAGGCACTGAAGATGTAGCAAGCCCCATGCCACTCGGTTGTTCGTGTGCGGTTGCGCCGAGACTCGAGTGGGAAGTGGTTTTCCGCAGGCCAGGTAACAAGGGAAGCTCCGTGTCGGCCATGACTATGTCAAATCGCGATAGCAGGTAGTTGAGCGAAGACGTAGACAGGGGAGGGCTCTTCAGCGAGTTCACTTGTCAGAGAGGAAAAGAAAAAAGCGAACGTGGGAGGCGGTCCGAGTGAGACAAGTTTCGACGGCTGCGCAGGAGTCAAGTCATCACTGGCGGCTGCGTGCGCAGAAACTGAGAACCCCGGAGCTCATTCTCTTTATTCAGACGGTAGGGCGACGCATCTGCCATATGGCCAAGGGGGAAAAGAGATGTCATGTCTGGCGATCGCCGTCGTCGCTGCATAAGCAGCGTGTGATTTAAGGGGGCGCCTCGAACAAGCTGCCTGGCCCCTTTGAGTTAGCGCCGCTGGGATCCGCAAGCCACCCCACGCGCTAGTGGATGCTATGCCGGATCGAGACTAGCGGACCAGATCTCGGGGACCAGCTGCAAACACTGCAAACTTGCTCTTCCCGCTGCTCTTGGCGGCTTCAGTGCTGGCAACACCTGGGATCGCGGTGGATTATCATTATCTGCGTTTCTATTGTCTATCAGGGTGGCAGGGAGGTCTGCGTGTAGCTACATTTGGTGTACATGTCTCTCATTTCTCAGTTCCCGTTTGCTGCTGCAGCTGCTGCAGCCCGCAATCTCCTCTCCTTGAGCTCCAACAAAGCAGTGAGGTTCCATGGCGAATCGAGCATGTCAAAGAAAACCTCCAACAGTTGGATACGATCGCCCTTCTTGAATCCCTCGTCGCTGAAGACCTTGCCAAGCTCCGCATAGGTTTTGGCCACGTAAGTGGGGGCATTGGGGGCGCCGAAGAATGACAACATCTTTTGGTAATCCCATTGGGTTGAGATATCGTTATATTGCTGCATCGGTCCATGGATGAGTCGCTCAATGGAATATCCCGCGTTATTAACCACAAAAATTGTCGGCGTCAGCCCCTCTCGGATAATTGTTCCGAATTCTTGGACGGTCATTTGCAGACTGCCATCACCCACCAGCAAGATAACACGTCCCTTGGCGCCCGTTTCTTTACGGGCTAGGAGTGTCCCAAGGAGTGCCGGGACGGTGAAACCGATGCAGCTGTAGTACAACTGACTGTAATATTTGCAGTTATCGGGCAATTTGAGGTCCAGAGAGCCAAACTGGGATGTTCCGACTTCTGCGATAACAAAATCATCCGGTTTTAAGAATTTGCTTAGCCTACCCCAGAACCGCTTGTGATCAAGGGGCTCAGTGCACGAATCATCAACCACGGTGCCCTATTGAAGCCATCAGCATTACTCATAATTGGTCTGCCAAGAGAAGCAGCCTTCATACCTCTGTAGTTGGCTGCGACCTGGGAACCGGGTTCGACTTGCGCCGCAATGGCTGCTTCTTAAGTTGATGAACCAATTTCCGGACCACGGGCCTAAAATCGAGCCCATCCCACACTTTATCCCCAACGGAGCAATAGCTGGGATGTAGTTTGATCATCTTGTCTTTTGGAAGCTCGGTGGAGAAGCCTCCGGTGTTCGCAGAAACGGGGAAAGGTCCAGCGTGGAGGATGATATCATGGGCTTCCGCTTGTGATTGTGTACTCGGAGAGGTAGAGACGATACCGGCGTATAACCCGGCAAATTTAGGGTCCGATTCGTTAACGATGGATTTTCCCATCGGAGTGATATAAAACTATTACATTTATTGTTACTATGCGGCCCCCTAGTTTGGATCAAAATCGCAAGGGAGGGAACTCACGGGAGCATTAATCTGTTCAACGAGTTCCTTGGCCTCATTAACTAGCCCATGGCGCTGCATCAACACGTCCACGATGACACTGGGGTTGGAAGCTTGGTCTATTGCGCGGATAATTTCCGACACCACCTCATCTTCTTGTGCCTCCTTTCCTTCATTGCGCACTTCAAGATCAAGAGGTGTCGACAGCCGCGAGGAATCCGTCATCAGGTCCGGAACTTCGACAGGGATGAAGAGGTACGCCGGCAGCCGTGTCTTGACACAAGTTTCGATCACGCGATCGATCTGCTCGGGCGCGGTGGCGGGGTCAGTAAGGAATGCAGAGTCGCTCTGTACTGGCTGGCTCATCTTCTGGTAAGTAGTATGATCCCAATTGTCCATCCAGAGGGTATGGTGTATCTTGACGTGGTTGCGCTGCATATCGCGAGAGGTGTTTCCAACAATGTGAATGACGGGAACATATTCGCTATATGCGCCGGCAATGCCGTTGAGCGCACTCAGCTCCCCAACACCGTATGTTGTTACCACAGCTCCTGGAATACCCCGAGCACGCGCATAACCATCGGCGGCATAAGCAGCGTTGAGCTCGTTGCAGGTGCCCACCCATCGCAGATCAGGGACATTGTAGATGTGGTCGAGAAGGTTGAGATTGAAATCGCCGGGAACACCGAGCACATGACGAATACCGAGCTGGTGCAATCGACGGAAGAGGTACTCGCCAACAGGAATCTGGCCTTTCTTCGTCATGATGAATGTTCAGGGGTTCTGTCTTCGGTTATAAGGGTAAAGAGTAAGGAAGGAGGGCTAATAAAAGAATGGCTGGAATAACAGGGGAGGTTTTGGTCCGGAAAGAAGAAAATCTCCGGAGACCTTGCCCCTTGGACCCTTGGGAGATCTTTAAACTCGATCCATTGCCGCCGCTCGGCCAGTTGGGAACCCCGCACGCCCGACCTTCTAGGCGTCTGTTTGGGCGCCGCAGCCCGAGCCGAAGGGTGTTTCGGTGATCGGATTCTGGCCCTTGCCAGCCGGTATTCTTGCGAGCCGGCCCTATCACATAACTTCATTCTGCTGCTCGGATTCCGCTTCAAGATCTAGATCAACACCCTTCCTCCGCGGCAGAGGGCTTGTCTTCCTCGTGGATTACGACTGGTGCTCACTCCTGGGACCTGAAGGCTGAAGCACCCTTCTGCTACCCCACATCGCCTTCACCTGAGCCCCGCCTCATGTGATCCTGAAACCGGCGGCTAGTCACGGTTGCTTCGCCATCTTGACTGCCATGAATATTGAGCAGCTCAAAGGGCGCGATCAACACTGACAGGGCGAGACAAGCAGTTCTTTTCGAGCTTATCACTAGTGGCCCGATGTTGAAAACTGCTGACGGCAATAACCCTGGAGTGAATAGACTAGCCTGGAAACCTCGGCTCCAACGCAACTAGTTAAGGATTTGATCGGCTTCAAAATCTATTCATCAAAATCGGTAGAATGTCGCTCAGGCTTTTCACGCCCTCAGTTCTACGCGCAAGCCGAACCCTAGATATATCACGGTTTGTTTGACGCGCGGATAATCAAATGGGAGAGATTTCGTGTTCCTGAAACGGTTCATTACACAACAGCAATAGAAGCGGACATTTCTATTTCGAGATTCAGACATTGTATGCAAGAGTCCGCACATATATATTAACCCGTAAATAACAGAATAAAAGTATGATTATAAAGGGTTTTGGGTTTTAAGTCACATGGGGATATTGCTGGGTTTCATCGAGGTATAACCGGCTCTGCTGGAAGAGTTTCAATTTGGCGGACAAGAAAGCTCTTTTCGTCTGTAAATTGATCGTCGTCTGTTCGATCCTCAAGAAATTTAGGAAGAAATTTGAGTAGCCGATCACGGTTATTTATCAAAATCCGTTGTACGGCGACAGACTTTTTTGGATTCGCTACGAACACCTATAGCCATCAAATTAGACTGCCCAGGGAATGAACAAAGTAGAAAGCTCACCTTGAAGACGTGGAATCCTTCGTATTGAACCATTTTCCGGTCGTCTTTGAGCAAATTCATACATAACTTCAGATGATCGCCACTAGCCACATATGCAGTCATAACACTGTAATTTGCTCGATCAAGGAGAAGGTCGCCTAGCAGTTTAATACTTTGACGCTTGGTGACGTAGGAGTCTGATAGGACGAGAACGTTGTTATACGTTGAAAAGAAAAGGTCAAAATTAGTTGCAAGATAGCCAGCTACTAAAGCTTTGTGTCTCGTCAGAATTTCCTATCAAGGACGATGTTAATGAAGGAGCCCGCAGAGATCCTGGAGGGTTCGATTTCCGGCTGCCAACTCACTCTGAAAGTCGTAAATGCATCCGCACTAACTTCGAAGCTGCCCTGGTTGATCCATTGGAAAAATTTCCAAAATACGCCTTCTCCAGTTTGTGGCTCCCCAGGTTGGACTTCATCGAGTCTAATGGCAGGTTCTCCTTCTCGCGACTGATCATATAGCAAAATTCCTGTAACAACTTCAAACTTCGAAGCCTCTCTAAGAATCGATCCACATGGCATCGCACTTCGACTGTTCTCATAGCCGTTACATAGCTCAATAAGTATTTCCCGGTCGTTTGTTAACGATATACGAAATGACTGGAGGATCGCTGGAGGTGGAGGCATTCGGTAGTCGGAAACGAAGGAGGTGAGAAAATATCGTCTGGGTATCCTTTCTTGCCTCAAAGGGAAGATGCTGAATACTTCGAGCTACTTCGTAAAATAGGTCATCCAAAATGAAGGCTTGGACGAGCTGATGGACCTGTTCTGGTAGGCTGTCAACCTCTAAAGGTGCTGTCAGTGGCTAGCCGTTCGTTTGCTCAGAACTGTGTACTTACCATGCGTTCCTTGGACAATTAGCTTTATGTGCGCTAGGTGCTTTGCCAAATCTTCCTCAATCTAGATATTCACATTAGATTGTAGCTGGGGCTTCCGTGTGGAGGTGTTCACCTTGGCGGAACCCGGTGTCTGCCATAAGCGCGCGAGAAGATCCTTTAGAGTCCTTGCAACCTCCGTCGGTTGCCTCGATTTACTACGGCTGAATAGAAACGCCATTGAGCGAGCGACTGGAGCAGCTGGGATGCCGCCGGTCCAAGCAACGAGGACAATAGGGAGTCGGTGGGCCTCGCTTGCAGGCACTCGATGGAGATTGACCTAAATCTCAAGTCGGATATCTAGAACGAAGACATGCAACATGTCTTGTCCTCACAACCATCAAACCGATCGTGTAAGCTCCGCATTCTTTGCGTCAACAATAGTCTGTTGGTGGACGACGTGAGCTCCGACGGGGTAAACAATCCAGCGTTTAGGTTAAGCCCCTTTTGGTGGGGTCCAACAGCCAGTCGAGATCTGCCCCACCGGAGATTTCGAACTTTCAGTAAAGCAGCACAGCGCGAGAGAAGCGAGTCGCAGAAATTTCAATTCAACGGTTATCAGTCAGTTTCGCTATTCCGGCTCCTGAGAGAAGATCGGATACTATCAGGCTAGAAGCATTTTCTATCATGACGGTTTCGGGACTCCCCAGACCGTCGTCGCGACGACATCGACGACGAAAGCTCGTGTGAATCAAGTCCCAGTGAATGCTTGGATTTGACGAAAGACGACGGATGGCAGGATATAGAGCCGGACGAAGACATTCAACCTGTTGTCAGCCTCTTTAGTGAAAAGGAATTTCCAGATGCCCGGTCAATGCTTCAAGACTGCAAGGCGAATTTCGGCTTCGACCTGGTAAAGGTGCAGAGGGATCTTGGTGTGTAGCCCCCGAAGATGAAAGTCAGGTCCGGGAAAGAGTATACGGCTGACAATGCAATTTCAATGGTTCCAGGTCTAGATTTCTTAGGTACTATTAAGCTTGTGAATTATATTCGGTCGAATGTTCAATCGGGAAACACAAAGCCAGATCTATCGTCAAGCTCTCTTTTCGAAGACGACGTATACCTTAAACCTGTGTTGGAGGATGATGCACTCCTTTACAACTTGGAAGATATTTCAGATCCCGAAGAAGAACAGAAAGCCGATGGCCAGGAAGAAACCGCAAGTCCTAGCGGCAGGATAAAGGATCTCGAGGAGGAGCTCAGTCGTCTTCGCGAGGAATTTATCGAATACAAACACATGGTTCAAAGATCTCTTGGTAAGCAGCTCGGGAATGAAACAGAAATGGACCAGACTAGCTCGCCGAAGCAGCACCAAGAAGACGACATGGCTTCCAGCAGGTTCAAAAATGCGGAGGCAGGATATTTCACTTCATACTCATATAACAGTATGAACACTTTCCGCTACAGACTTTCGGGTAAGGTTGCTAACAGTTTATCCAGCAATACATGAGTCTATGTTGAAAGATACTATTCGCACCGACGCGTACCGCGATTTTGTTTACGACAATAAGAGCCTTTTCAAAGACAAAGTCGTGTTAGATGTGGGCTGCGGATCCGGAATTCTGTCCATGTTCTGCGCGAAAGCTGGGGCGAAAATGGTTATCGCCGTAGACAATTCAGATATCATTGACAAAGCACGTCAAATTGTGTACCAGAATGGATTTGGCGATGTGATAAAGTACGTTGCCCCAACAAGCATCAAGATTGTTAGGATTTAACCCTTGAATACTGGCAGGTGTATACGTGGGAAAATCGAAGAGGTCGTTTTGCCTGTGAAGCAGGTTGATATTATAATCTCAGAATGGATGGGATACTGTCTACTATTTGAAGCAATGCTCGACTCTGTGCTTTTTGCCCGAGACCGGTACCTCGCCCCTGGGGGTTTAATGGTACCTTCACATGCTACACTTCGAATCGCTCCTATCGCAGACCCTGATTTCATTGATGAGAACATATCATTTTGGAATTCCGTATACGGATTCAAAATGTCAAGTATGCTCGAGAACGTCTACGACGAAGTTCTCGTCCAAACGTTAAAACCCTCAGCAGTGCTTGCCGACTCTGCTCTGTTTATGTCGCTTCCTTTGCACACAATTACGGTTGAAGAGCTTACGTTTGTGAAAGACTTCAAGGTTTCCATCACGAAAGATGCCGAGACTCTTGATGGGTGGCTCGTTTGGTTTGATATGTTCTTCATGCCATCATGCCAAACGAAGCTTCCTCAGGATGCAGTACCTAGCGCTATGAAGAAAGCAGGTCACGTAGCCTTCACTACCGGACCTGATGGACAAGAAACCCATTGGCAACAAGGAGTGTTTCTAATAAACCGTGAAACGAAGCTACCAGTTCCGGTTAAAAGCGGCCAAGTGCTCAAGGGAAATATTCGATACAAGAAGAAGGAGGATAAATCTCGGTTGTTGGATATCCGTATCGAGTGGTCTGTGGAGGAAGAGTCACCAGTGAGCCAAGAGTGGGCGCTACAGTGAGCTTGGCTCCCATGAAAAGTTATATATTTGATATGATATAAGTGATGAGCAAAAGCGCTGAGCATAAACGTGACTTGGAAATCGATAGACAAATAAGGTTTGTTGCTATAGAATCGCAATGTAAAAGGTATCACTTTAATCATACTCCGCGAACTGCGCACTATAGCGTTTACCCGGAGCGTTGAGCCAGGAAGCGGGTGGCTCGGTTTGTATGGCTTCGCCCGGACGTGTTGCTCGAATCCGTTCCTCACGGTGTCTTCGGTGTTTATGGCGGTGATGACTAGAATGACTCCGCTCATGCCTTGGGACTTCGGGGTTCCCCTTCTCTGCGAGATCTATGAGAACGGTCTTTTCTCCTGTGCTGATGCTTCTGTACCGGGACCTCCATCCAATTTAAATTCATCCAAATTGTCATGTGATTGTGACCTGCGGCGACGCCGTCTCGATTCCTTCTCCTCTCGTTTCAGAGCCTCAAGCTCTCTTTTCCTCTCTTCTTCCCACTCTCTTTTCTCCTTCTCAACTTCGCGGAGTTGCCGAACGCCCTTCTTCATCGCTGCGAGAGGATCATTGGCTTCTACCCTCACTTTCTCCCGCTCTCGTCTCCGAGGATCTTCATTACCCCAAACGTCCTTCGAGGGCGCATTCTGTGCTCCAGCCCCAAGTTCCTGCGTTGAAGAGGAATACCATGGTGCATCCACTTTCTGGCGATATCCTGCGGCGTTAGAGAATCGCATCGTATACTGGTCCTCATATTCTCGCCTCTTTTTAGCGGCTTCTGCTTCAACCTCTTCGTTCTTATCAGAGCGTGCAGCCCGGCTTGGAAACAAGCTAATGTGTCCTGAAGCATCCGTTAGCGGAGCATCGCTCGTCGGTTTACGTAGAGGACCCCCATGGCCTGCGTCCGTTCGTGAAAGTGCATCTTCCTTCGCAAATCGAATATCTCTGTCTGTATCATCTTCACCGGCTAAACGCCTTCGCTTGCGATGGCGCCCTTCGGTAAGAGATTTGGCCCTGGCATCGCTGAGTGAATTATGTTGCGAGGGAGGGGATGACGGGCGTTGGTCGCGAAGCAGTTCGATCCGTCTCTCGGCGTCAATTTCTTGTAGGCGCTGGTCCCTCTCGTCTTCCCGCGCTTTGGCCAGGGCCTCATCCCGCCGAACCCTGGCAATGTTGTCCTTGTTGTAGACGTTCCATGATTTCTTCCCAAGTAAATGACTAGATCCGTTGAGTTAGCACCAGTATATGAAATAAACGCAAACGACACAAGGGGGACATACAGAGGCATGTTATAACCGTCACCACTTCCTAAGCTATGTGTGAGATACCAGGCCCCTCCGCTGTCGTCACTTTTGCCCTGCCGGACCTAGCTTGGTTGATGACTAATCCGATGGGGCTGAAACTGCATACTCGGGCAAAGAGTACGCCGTATGTCGTAGGTTCAGCCACCTGTCCCAACCAGGCTTAGCGCCACAACGGGGCTGGTTGGCCTGACGAACGTCTACGGTGGCGAGACAACGGTCGTGTCGCATCGATGATGTTGGCTCGGTATGGGTTTGGAGGCCTCTTGTCAGTTCATGAAAGCTCAATTGTCCCTGTCACGACTTGATTTACATAGAAGTTTATACTAGTTACGATTCCTTTATAATAGATTCTGTTTACCTTCTTGCTTTGAGAATTAGTTAACTATTTTGCCAGTTGGTCAATCCATTGCCGCAGTGCCTTTGAAACGGAATTTATAAACCACTGCGCGGTATCTCAACGAAGATATATTTACGTGGACTATTATAGAACTGCCAACGCCATGTTTAACCGCAATAATATCCCTTCTCTCCCTAATCCTTTTTCTTCCGGCGGTTCTCCCGGTGGTGATGGAGCTCGACCACCCCGCGATCGATACAACGTGCCTCCCCAGCAGATGGGCCGCCCGGATGCGTATGGACAAGACCCTCGACTAGCTGGAGGGTATGCGCCACCGCTTAATCGAAATGATAATGACACTGTGATGACTGACGCATATAATGGATTAAGAAGATACGGAGGACCTACCGACCGGGCTCCCGCACTACCCTCGACGCCAGGCGGAGGGAGGATGACGCCAGCCAGCAGTGGTAGCGATCGGGTATGGAATTTGCGGCCAGCGAAAAGTCCCGACAATTCTTATACTTATGGAAACTTGTGGGTATTACATCAACCTTTCTTGCCTTTACCGTGCTAATAGCCTTGGTTCCCGTCAGAGTTGCTGTGTCACCCCGTGATATCCCACCTTCGAGAGATGGGTCAGATGTATTAGTTCTAGTCAATCGTCATTAGCGTATTTTCAGCTCGCCCTCTGGAAGGGTTCCCTCCCGGCCATATTAGCATGTCAGACCCGCAACGGACATGGGCGCAGGTTGCATTGACGGATATGGTTGATGTTAGGCTGTATGACATTTTCAGCCAGGGGAGCCAAGCATATCTCGCTTCCATGGACTTGGAGGTTGGGTTTGCGGGCAAAAAAAGAACTGAAACTCCCTACGATCAGGATCAACTTGCCAATGTTTTCATCAGGGTATGTATTTTCCAATCCTAGATAGAGGACGTAAGAGAACTAACGGGCCCAGAATTTTGAAAACCAAATTCTTGCTCCTGGCCAGAAAATATTGATGGATGATAGAAGCATCCCGCTTCTACTAAATGTCAAAACCGTCCAGCTCGGTGATTTATCAGAGAAACCATCGTCCTCTGCCCCAACTTCGGCGGACCCTACCACAAGGGGCATACTTACCAAACACACTTTAATCAACTTCTTCAAAGATGCCAAAACAGGCATTAACGTTAAACCCTCCAATCGGAGGCCTGCTGCGAATTCCATCATTCAGCCGGATTTCAAGTTTGAAAACATGGGTATTGGTGGTTTGGACCTGGAGTTCAGCACCATTTTCCGAAGAGCCTTTGCATCTCGCATTTTTCCACCTGGCCTTGTGGAAAAATTGGGAATTCAGCATGTCAAGGGCATTCTACTCTATGGTCCACCGGGAACTGGTAAAACGTTAATTGCAAGGCAAATTGGCAAGATGTTGAACGCAAGAGAGCCCAAAGTTATCAACGGCCCTGAAGTTTTAAATAAATTTGTCGGTCAATCGGAAGAAAACATCAGAAAACTCTTTGCCGATGCCGAAAAGGAGTACAGAGAAAAGGGTGATGAAAGCGGGCTTCACATTATCATTTTCGACGAACTCGATGCGGTTTGCAAGCAGAGAGGCAGCGGAGCCGGTGGTGGCACCGGTGTCGGCGACAGCGTTGTCAATCAGCTCCTATCCAAACTCGATGGTGTCGACCAACTGAACAATATCTTATTGATTGGAATGACCAACCGAATGGACATGATTGATGACGCTCTTCTACGTCCTGGACGTTTGGAGGTTCATATGGAGATCTCCTTACCCGATGAAAAGGGGAGAGTCCAGATTCTGAATATTCACACTAAGAAGATGCGGGACGGCAATCTTATGGATAGCGATGTAGACCTCGCTGAGCTGGCTCAACTAACCAAGAATTTCTCTGGAGCAGAAATCAGTGGTCTAGTGAAGTCTGCATCGTCATTCGCTTTCAATCGACATGTCAAGATTGGAACGATGGCTGGAATCAGCGACGACGTCGTTAATATGAAAGTAAATCGGCAAGATTTCCAAAATGCCCTGGACGAAGTTAAACCCGCTTTCGGTGTCTCAGAGGAAGAGCTTGAAACTTGCATTCATGGAGGTATTATTCATTTCTCTCCGGCTATCGATAGCATTTTGGAGGAAGGGAAGCTGTTTGTGAATCAAGTTCGAGATCCTCAATCAACGACTCAGCTATTCTCAGTGCTACTGCATGGACCACCGGGAAGTGGAAAAACCGCTTTGGCTGCAAAGATTGCCATAGACTCAGATTTTCCATTTGTTAAGCTCATCAGTCCAGAAGACATGGTGGGCTTCAGCGAGATGGCCAAAATCCAGCATATGAGCAAAGTGTTCAACGATGCTTACAAGAGCCCTACAAGTGTTGTGGTTATGGACAATATTGAACGAATCATTGACTGGGTCCCAATTGGACCTCGATTCAGCAATTCCGTCCTTCAAACCGTCATGGTGCTACTCAGGAAGCAGCCTCCCAAGGGGCGTCGCCTTTTAATTCTTGCGACGACAACTGAGCGATCGATATTGAAGCAATTGGGATGTTTTCAACTCTTTCAATGCTGACATCGCGGTACCCAATGTGAACACCTATGAAGAGCTTGGCATTCGTCTTGAGGGAAACCGGCGCATTCTCTCCTCAAGAAATAGAGATGGCTTTGTCTGGAGTCCGCGACAAAACACAAAGCCATAGGATCGGTGTTGGTATTAAAAAGGTTCTGCTTGGTGTCGGAACTGCCAGGCAAGATACAAACAAGGCCAATCGTTTTGCTTCTGTTATTGCAAGAGCAGTGGATGAACAGGAGGTTGTCTAAGGTGTCTCCATAAATACTAATTGAAAGTTCAAGACTTAAAGCCTCTTGTATTACCGGTATATCCCACATCACCCTTTTGGCTTCAAATATCGCTCTGTTGCATGTCAATGCTATCTGTGCTAGTGCCTAAGGCAGGCGTTAAACCGTCCTTTAGAAAAAGGTCCTGTGTTTGCTCAGTTTATATGGGACACTTGGCCGAAAAGACGTGGAAATTGCATTTGATATGTTCTAGAAGAAAGACTTCTTGTTTTCCATGATATTCTTTCAGGCATTCACCACAGTGAGATACACTGTGTTTTAATAATCTATAATCTTTCCTGCCATCAATAATTAGCTGATATACGTGGTGGGACTCTTTGACTCAGTTAGTCTTCTCAGATACCCATCACTAGTGGTGTCCAAAGTGTTGTATATTTATACAGGAAAATAGTGAAATGTATACTCCGTATAAGGCACTAACAACTTGCAGTGGCCTGAACATCCTTGCTGTTGCTTACACTACAAGTCTACAAAAACTATCTTGAGTTTTGCTATAGTTATTTAATGAAGGAAAGGGCAGTTGAACAGGTTGATAAAAGGTCCCATGACTGTTCTTCTTGATGCTAGATATGTGCTTTATACTACAAGGACTGCAGATTTATCTAGCTAAATATCTCAAGTATGACATTTCATCGTCCAGTTGAACCAAGATGCTAATAATAAGCTCGACATCGGTAGCCCTATGTATGCAATAAGAAAATGATGGGTTTTAGAAGGCTATGGTATGAACTTGTGGAATTGTATTTCAACTGGTGGGATAAGAGAGGGCGCATCCACAGGCAAAAATAACTTGCCTCATACGGAGTACACGCTTAGCGCTATTCGAAGAGATATCCGACTTGATTAGGGGAGAACCTAGCCCGCTGCTGAAAGAGTCGGGGGAAAGGAGAAGGGCTGGTTGCCTCTACAACTCTGGGTATCTAAGGGCGATTGTAGGCCTCTAAACTGCCCCTGTATACAACCCCCACCGGCTCGCCGATTAGGGGTGCCATAGGCCCCCGTAAGCCCCTATTCACCCCCTACGTATGCCTACGCAACGTCGTCATACCAATACCTAAGCACCTCGCTCTACCTTATTATTTACATCTCCAGGCATACTTCTACGGTGTCTATAACTCGATTTAACCGTGGCAATAATCCACATGACCTTGTACGCGACGCAGATGACCATATCACAGAGTCACGGGGGGCACTACCAACTATTCCAGAACCCGAAAAGAATACCCTAACGCCGGCCGCGCTCCCCGCGCACCCGGATTCTATAAGGCTGAGAGGGGCCTGAGCCCACGGAAGTCGCCTGCAGGGGTGTGCGCGAACTGTGGGACCCCGGGTCAACAATGCGGGGCACGCTCTCCCCTTCCCCTGAGACATTGGAGCCAATCGGAGCACATTTGACACCGGTTTCGCGGTTAAAAATCGGGCCATTTCTCCCCCTGGAGCTGGGGACTAAGCGCGCTGCGGCTAGAGGGTGTAGATTCCGCTAAAAGCGGCGAGGCGCGCTGACAAAAGTAGGGGGTGGAGCGGAGTGGGCGGAGCGGGAAAAAGGGGTTATCAGACTAAAACCCGACTTCTTGTGTTTTATGTCCGCTGGCGAATTGAGCATAATTTCAATGCAGAGAAGGTTGAAGATTGCACCAACGCCTTGTAGAGGAGCCAATGTGAAAAACACAAAAGCTTAGAGGATGGCAACCGAATTGCGTTGTGCAGCTCACTGTCCGTATTCAAAGGTGGCTGATGGGTAGCCCATGGTTATGTGTGTCGATGCTAAAAGCCTCAATTAGCAAAAATGTCACCTGACTCGATAGCAAAAATTCTCACGGATGATGCCCGGGGGCTTGAAAAGGTATATCTTGTAAATTGTCAAATATGCATATTAAAAACAACGTATTTTGGCAGGAGCAATCTTAAAAAAGAGTCATTTGCAGAGAGCCAGCCGCCCCAATTCCCAAACCTGCCAGAAAAAGATCCCCGCCCAGCAGATATACAGGTCAAAGAAACCCACCAAAAAGACGAAACTGCAGGATTCGCCAACATTTTGCAGAAGATTGGGCCATTAAAAAAAGGTCATAAGTCATTAAGTCGTGAAAACCAGGAGCCAGAAGTTGAAACCTCGTAAAATCAAGAGTCAGAGTCGCCGACGGGTTTAGCAATCGTCGTCAAACGCGTATTTGCTGCTGGCCAAGCGGTATTCGCTTGGGAGATTTCGTTCCGCTTTCACTTTCATAGAGCTGCAAACTAAATTAGCAGATGAAATAGTTTATGCCAGATATGGTCGAATTGTCAAAATAACTGCATTGACAAAAACTGCCAAGGACAGCGGAGCGGAAAGCCCGTGCACGGAGCGGAGCGGAGATAGGCAGTAAAGGGCTTTGCACGGGACGAAGGGGCGGAAAAGCATAGGAAGTTGATAGGACGGTCAACTCACCTAATGCGCTTTTGGGTCCATTCCAGATCGGATTTGGTCTCCTTTGCGGCTTTGATTCCTTCCGCAAAGTTTGATCTGGCACCCTTGATACGGCGTTGCATGAGTGCTTGAAGTTCTTGGAGTTCTCGCTGTTTGGCGTTGAGCTGGCCGGAGCTGCAGAGAATATATCAGAATTAGAATCCACATCCGCAGCAGAAATAGCCGCCTTTTCTGGAATACTCACAGCTGAGTCTGTTTCGCAATGCTCTTATCGAGTCTGGTAGGATCAAAGACGTTGCTCATGCGGTCGTTTAGAGTGTCAATGACATCAACTCCAGAATAGCCCGAGGACGAAACGTCAAAGTCGCTGGCACTTCCGGTGGTTGTGCTGACATCGGAGATCTCCGGCGGAGAGCCTGCAACGCGAGAGATTGAAAAGTAATTGGTGCTGGCTGGTGCCTTGGAAGGCATGTTGATGGGGAGAGTGGAAGTGGCCTGGCCGGCGTGAGGGCGGAAAGTAGCGGCCATGATGAATTGATATTTCCAGGAGACGATATGTCTGGGTATGAGAGAGGCGATTTGTGAAGAGCAAGACGTCCGCAAGCGTAGAACTGAACTGATTGGGTATCAAATGGAAGACAGCAAGGCAGTGCCAGGTCAGGGGAATCAGAAAAGCAGTAGGATTCCTAAGCAAAGAGTTCGACAAGTGATAGAAGACCTGGGTATGATTGAGGCCTGTCAATTGGGAGTGGGCAAAGTGCTCTTGAATGGGCAGAGTCAGATCAAAGCTGGAGACGAGAAAATAAGGAAGAAGGAGGAGGACGAGCAGAAGGGGGAGCAGGAGGCCCCTTTTATACCCCAGCGCCGGAGCCAGCCCATCCCCATCAGGATAGTCCTGCTCGTCTGCCGGCCATTGGCATGTCAGCGCAGTGTGATGACCGGAGGAGCCGTGAGTGGCTCTCCGGGCCATCGTTCTCTCCTCTTCTTTCTTCTTCTGCTTCCCCGTTTTATCCCTTGTCTCTCCTCCTCCCTGCAGGGGGACCCATCCCCTTTCTGTGCGCCCCGATTCGCTCCTCGAGGGCGTCGACCCCGCTCACAGTCGGGAAAAGAGGCGTGCGCAGGGCCGCCATCCGCACGGGGATTCGCCAGTCGGTCCGCACTAGGGCATTGGTCCCGCCTGATCCGTCGAGGGCAAAGTTAGGATGCTGTGAGAGGCCACAAGAGACACCCTCCACGGCGAAGCGAGGCCGGATGCGGGATGGCGCCGTGCTGCTCTGCGAACTCTGCCTGGATTCTGGATTCTGGATTCTGGGCGGGCGGCAAACAGGGAGAGAGGGAGAGGACGAAGGAGAAATGGAGGCCAGTGGTTCTCTTCAGCACTCCCTGGTTCTGTGAGACGAGAGCCCAAAAAAGGGGCGCTAAGAAGGGGCTATGTGGGAGATTTGTTACATATTTACAACTTACCGTTTGTTCTACAGGCTAATATTGGCTGCAGACGACACCCTCCCGCCGCCTGTGTGTAGTTATATGTCCGCGGTGCGTGGAAACTCAGCATCACGGGCGGCCAGCGTTGGGCCTGGAGCATGGAATAAGGGCTGTTGGGCCTCGAAAGGAGCTACAGAGATTCCCATGGACGTTGGCGACGAGTATCAGATATTGATAGCTCGATGTCTGTACCTTACATAAGAACGACCAGGCAGGGTACATGATGCAGCTGGAGCGGCTCAATGCAGTGCGGATGAAGAGAGCAAAAAGGCGAAATGACAAAAGCAAAAACAAGAGAAGACGAGAAAAGAAAAGGGAAGAGAAATCAGGCAAAGAAGCCAGCGCCAAAGCGGACTGAAGCCAGAACATCTCGTCGTCCCGGCATATCTCGACGGCTCAACGGATTTTCATGTGCGGTGAGCCCGACTGCCTGTTGACGGAACATCTGCTGCCTGGGCTGCTGGGCAGCCTCACTCTCTCTCTCTCTCTCTCTCTCGCCGTGACAGGGCTCTTACGCACACAAGATGGAAACGCACATCCTATTCAGCTCATCCATAGTTAGCCAAAGGGATAACATCATTTACCAGCACCGTTGCCCGTCAAAATTCGCCGATCGCCGCCATGCTCGCCCATCGATCGTTGATCCCGGGATCGCAACCAGGCAAGAAATCCACCTGATAGTTACCCAAACCGCATCCCTGCCCCTTAACAGCGCGCTCTTATGGCACCCGCGATCTGCGCAATTCTGCATTGGCATTCTTGCTTCCCTGGGATGTGGGAATGACCAGCAAGGGGGGGAGGGGGCTGCTTCTGAAGGGTCTGAGTGTAACATCCTTTGGGCCATAAGCGCGTCACCGCAACTTGCTCGGTGAGACGGCCAGACCGGGATACTTGCGGTTTTCTGCTCGCTGCCAGCCTATGGCGAGAGATGCCACTGCGTTGGGTACCGTCCGCCTGCGAATCGGTCTGCAGAGGACACGGCCAGTTGGGCACTCATCCACCAGGACGGACACCATTTGCTGATGAGACTGTCAACCGGCGAGTTAATCAGATATTTCTCGGGTGTGGGTGTGCGGATTTGGCCGCAATGCCATCTTGGTGCCTAATTGCCTTCTCCTTGATGGTCATATCGACAGTGGTCATATTTACAGCAATTACATCAATGTATATACAAGTTTAATAGAAAAGCAGAGGCAGTAAATATGCATCGACAAGAAAGTGAAAAAAAGAAAAAGATAAGCAATTCCCAATACCTTTTCTCCTCTCGTAACATGCTCCCCAAATCATCCAAATGCCTATGTAGCAAGTAGCTATCCGCTTCCCACCAAGTCCCCATTCGTGCCCCTCTCCAACTGCAAATCCAGAGAAGAAAATACGTCTAGTATTACGTTATGTATCCTATTTCATCTCAGCTCGTCAGAAAAGTTTCCACATTGCCCCGGTCAGAGCGGCCATAGCGCTGACAGATGTGCTCCTGTCAGCATCGACCTGTGCAAAACACACGAATAAACCCAATCGTAACATGCTATGATAGAAAACCCCTTTGCGCCAGGAGGGAGAGATGATGGTATATCCAGTTCTAACGCAAGGCGAATAACGTAGTAGAAATTGAACGTCGGGAACCATGCCATTAGCTAGCAAGCGTCAAATCAATCAATGATAACAAGATCGTGTACGTAAATCGTCAAGTCTGGGTACCGGTAGGGCCATTTGGTTCCCTGTCTCCGTTTGGCGCGTTTGAATCTGTATCACCGGTCTCTTTTACAGTGTCGCCTCTTCCACTATTTGGATCCGCATCAGAAGCCTCTCGAACCGTGATGTTTGATGCACTTCGGATTTGTAACGTTGCCCTTGTCGAAGTTTTAGATGGGTTGGACCGCAAAAAGCCACCACCAGGTTTGGGCCTTGTCAACCGTCTCGATTGCGGCGCGAGGTATCGGTCGAGCATGCCCCTTAACACATCAGACCTAACAGGTTTCGCTAGGTAGTTATTCATGCCGGCATCAATGCACTTTTCGCGGTCTCCTTCGATGGCACTCGCAGTCATCGCGATGACAAGAACTTCATTGACATTGGGATCTTCGTCCTCGCGGATTTTTCGCGTTGCATCGTACCCGTCGAGAACAGGCATTTGGACATCCATCAGAACAACATGATATGGATTTCCTTCCTTGGATCGCTGTTGCAGTGCTCGCACGGCTTGTTGGCCATCACTATAAACGTCGCTGGTAAGGCCGAGATTATGAACGAAATTCACGGCGATTTTTTGATTGATCGGATTGTCTTCGGCGATACAGACTCGAATTTGGTCGCGAGGAATGCAAGTCAGATCCCGCACAACTCGCTTCTGGGGCTGCTGTTTCTTGTCTTGAGAGATATCCTGGGACCAAGGTGTCCTGGCAACCGCATCTGGTGGTGCTTTCTTGAACGTCACTGTAAAAGTCACTTTTGTACCCACGCCCACATCAGAGTGCAGCCAAATCTTCCCGCCAAGTACGTCTTCGATGATGGCTTTGCATATGCTTAATCCCAACCCGCTGCCGCCATACGACCTTGCCGTCGAACTGTCAGCTTGCGAGAACGGTCGGAAAAGTCGGGCCATATGGTCATTTGAAATGCCAATTCCGGTATCGGCAACTGTGCAAGTAACTCGAATCGTGTTTTCGCTCTCCTCAGCAACCTTGGCTCGGACCGTCACTGATCCCTTGGGTGTGAATTTGTAACTGTTGCTAAGGAGGTTCATAAAGATTTGATGTAATCGCACTGGATCCCCAAGAACCAATAGGTCTGGGTCAATATCGTCGAAGTCCTCAATAGTCTCCAACCCACGGTCGCGGTGGGTGTATCGAAGCGCTCGAACCACCTCGGCGATTGTTTGCCTCAGATTAAGGGGAACAGTAGTGACTTTCATCTTACCAGCCTCTAATTTCGAGAAATCTAAGATGTCGTTGATCAGGGTGAGAAGAGTATCGGCGCAAACGCGAATGGACTCGACATAGACATCCTGTTGGCGATCTAGGCTTGTTTGTTTAAGAAGTTCAGATAAACCAATGACTCCTGTCATCGGCGTTCGCAAGTCGTGAGAGATGTTAGCCAAAAAGATGGACTTTGCCTTTGCGGCCTCTTCCTTGAGCTTAACGTTATGTCTTGCTTCGGCCTCAGCCTCTTTGGCTTTCTGTTCTGCTTCCCGCGCCTGTGCCAATGCTCGTTTCTGGGCCTCAATCATAGCAGCATTTGCAGCACTAAACGATTGTCAATACGCTAATGCAAGCGATTCACGAACTAAATGAAGTCCCTTACCTGATCTTGCGAGCCTCCCGGAATAAGAAAGCATTCACAAGTGATATCCCAACCTGATTGCAAACAAGCCGCAATACAACCAAATTGCGGTGAGTAAATGAATTGGGCTTCCCCTCAATATGGATAACTCCAAGGAAGTTATTTGCTTGAAGAATCGGCAGCGCGATTACAGATCTTCCCTCAGGATTTCGACTAGCATACACGTCGGAAACATTCGAAAATCGCTCGTCTTCCAGAACGTTGTGAACCAACACTGGTTCTCGAGTTCGCAACGTGTAGTGAGTGATTTGCTGGGCCATTTTATCTTCGACCTCAGAAAAGGGCAGACCGTCCGCATAGGAGACCTCTCCCTTATCCATCTCCCCAGCGGCGGCAACACACCAGCCTTGAGATTCAAATTCAGTAATAACGAGGGCTATCTCAGACCCACTACAGGATTCCAAGATTATGCCGACCATCTTCGTGAGAAGCTTGTCTATTTCGAGCTCTGACGACATCACTTGACTGAACTCCAGGATACTCGACAAATCGATGATATCTATGTCGTGTTAGAACACTGCTCGAAGAAAGACAATTGCACAAATGCTTACCTAAACCGACTCTGGAGACATCTAAAGTCCCTTCCGCCCAATCTTGATCTTGTTCTAACCACTTCCGATTATGCTCGTCCTCGAGACGGGCCTGGCTGCCGTTGCCATCCGATCCTGTATTCGAAGAAACAACTAGTGCGTCAAGAGTTTGGCACCCAGCTTCTTTAGATCGTGAGATGGTCCCCATCCTCGAAAGCCACTCATGACTTTCAGTTAGCTGCTTAGCTTTTCCAACGGCGCTCATTCGACTCCACGCAGGAATTGCATGCTTCAAAATCGCCTGCGCAGCCCGTCTTGCACCCCGACGAACGAGGAAATCAACTAACCGGGACGAAACGTTAGGAGACACTAAAAGAGACAAAAGGGCCATTGAAGACGTACCTTGAAATTCGAGCGCCATTGCTTCTTCCAGTGGGAAATTGTAAAGCTGAGTATGATCAAGCGCGGCCTACGTGGATCATAAGCATTTGAAAAATAAAATGAAATGGACCTCATCCACTTACCTCCAGCGCCTGCATCGTTCCCGAGTAGTCCTCCTTCAACTCACAAAGTAAAGCTTGCACTAGCAATGACCACATGCCAAAATTCGTATTGCAGGCCGATTCCATAAGATCGATTTCTTGTTTATATTTCTGAACCAACTCAATATCTTGTTCCAAACCTGGTCGAGACGGATCTTCAATGTGACGAGATAGAATAGCAAGTGATAGGTAAAAGTAGGTCTGTGTCGCGAAACGGGAGGACCACAGGCATTCGATATTGTTCACAATAGCCGTGCCAACATCTACGACTCTATCATAGTAGCCGTAAAGATAGAGGGGAACCAGCATTATCGCACGGTATGAATTCAACGAGTGCGGATGCGAACCGTTGGACGCAAGAGTTTTCATATATTGCTGTTCGTCGTAAGAGTCGTCGGACATGATTTGCTCTGGACTGCTAGTGTATGTCTTTCCCTGAAGGGCACGAGCCGCTTGCCTATAAATTTGTTCGTAAGCACAAAGACCCCACGAGTATAGACAGAACTATGGGATAGGGGACTAACCTAATTCCTAAGATGATGGGACCGCCGCGTACGTCGTCAACCCAATCTCTTACCTCCTCACTAGCGCAATTGCAATGCTGTTCAAGCTCTACGAGGTCATGTCCAAGAGAAAAGCCGGTGACCACCATAGTGCCCATTGCAAATAGTGTTATATGACGGTCTCCAAGGTTGTGTGCAGTCTGCATCGAACTTTCAAGCATTGGAAGAGTCAGTGCCAATGGGACCCGCATATGATTCACAAAAGCGTTATGAATCAAGATCCCACGAGTTGCAAAAGATGGTTCTTTGTATTGTTCGAGGAAAGTCAGCGCTGCCTCGCTCAGTTTCATTCCCAACTCAATGTCTTTGTATCGGCTCGTGGCAATCATGATTAAATGTGTGCATAGATACGCTATCTGGGCGAAAGGACCCCGAGATATGTAAATATTCATCAATTCCACGGCGTATCTGCAAAACAACTTGGGCTCCATCCAGACGCTCAAGCCTATCGCCTCTGACATAACAGCCCCGATCGCGAGTAAAGTTCGGTCATCGCTAAGTGGCCGTGAGAATAAAGCGTCCAAGTCGGCCTCAAGGAGATATGTGCTGAGCTGCATATAAGCCTCATCGACTTCTTCCCAAGTGACGTCTCTTTTGATGTTCACCCCAAGATCGCTCAAGCCTGAAAGTAGAGAATTCAAAGCCAAATCAAGCTCACCGTTTTCAGCCTTAATGCGGCTTTGTAAAACCCAGGCGCGGGCCTTACAAGCCGGTGTGTGTGCATTGGCAAAGATCACGGATAAAAGCTCTGTTGCCTCAGATGTACGTCTTTGGGCAAGCAACACCTCAGCGGTCCTAATGTGCAATTCTCTCGTTTCCTCATAAAAAACATCGGGTTTGCTATCATCCCATGCATTGTCTTGCAGCAGACAAATGCATGTCTGATAGAACGTTAGAGCGGTAGTACTAGCGCTTGACTTTTGTGCCGTGACAGCTGCCTTTGATAGTTCGTCACGATATCTGATGCGATGAGGTACATTCTCCTTTATCAGTTTTGCCGCTTTTGATATATGATGGGCTCGCGAATATAGCATTTTTTCATCCGAGGCGAAGTATTTCATTAATGTCTGAGCAATAATGAAGTGCATTTGATCTGGATTGTGGCATTGCTCCATGAGTGTCGCGGCCTGCGCATAGCGGTCAAAAGAGAACCTAGCAAATTTGATTTAGTGATAGATAACGAATAAAATAAGTCAAAACCCACCTGAACTCGTCGTCAGTATCACCTGGAAGAATGATATAAGATTGGAGCAGGTATTGAAGCCCAGCAATGACGCTGCTACTCGATTGAGTGAGTTTAGTTCTCTTTCGACGTTTGGCACAATCGCCTTCAGCAGCATCAGAAACTTGTGGGAATTCTCCACTGAGTAATTTCTGAATCACAGAGAAGTAAAATGGGCTACCGAGCAACGCCGCCCAGAGTAAAATTGACCGTGCCTCCGCAGGCAGTTCTTCGAACCTTTTCGCGACAAAGTCAACCTGTAGATCTTGACCATAATCCGGAGTAGCAAGCTCTGTGAATATCCGATCAATGTCAAACTGCCAGGTAGAATCTCTCCAAGAATACCATATGCAATTTTTGCGACTGCAAGTCTCTAAGATCAGTCTAATGTAGAAAGGGATCCCTCGACTTTTCTCTTGAATAATCGCAGCGAGCGGGATCAACGACTTGTCGGGCGGACGGTGAAGAGTTGCAGCGACGTAGTTGAGGATGTCATTTTCACTCAGAGGGCCAAGTTCGATCCTTGTGATTTGTGGACCTTCAGTATGAAAAAGCAGCCTGACATCAGGGAGAACAATTTCCTCAGGGCGGCCTGTAACGATGAAAACGCATCTCAATTTCGTCCGCATGATTTCGAGCAGCAGGTTGGAAGACTCATCATCCGCGTATTGTACGTCTTCCAAACAGATACAGATTAACTTGTGCAATGTCATCGTTCTCAAGGCATCCATGAAAATGTCTGCAAATCGAAGAGTTTTGGCGGAAGGCGGTTCCTGACAAAAGCTTTTCGATGTTGGGCCAAAGCTTAAACTCACAAAACCAGTATGGTCAGGACTGATTTCTCTTTCGGGCGCTTCTTTTATATCATGTAATGGAAGCACCGTAGTTTTAGACCCCAGCTGTTTGCCCTGGCCAGACGAAGGATAGATCAGCTGCTCCGGTAGATCAAGTGTGCGACGAAGGCTTCGCCATATCGGCCGCAGTGTCGTACGGATGGAATTATGGTATTCGGTATTGATATCCCGTTCAGAAAATATCTGTTGCAATAGCGTCGCCAACACTCTAATGAAAGGCTCAAATGGAACCCTGCGAGAACGATCAAGTCGCGCAACTGCCATGTACCCCCGTCTCCGGATTTCCGGTTGAACTCTCTGTATTAGGTCCGATTTTCCCAAACCTCCAGTTCCAGATATCGTGATTATCTCACATCTACCACCGTGACGATATTTCGACTGCGCCATCAGTTTGCCCAACCATGGAAGAGTATCAAACTGGGGGTTATGGCTGCCGACACTAGCCTCTTTTTCACTATTATCCCAAGAAAGGCGAGAATCTATTGGGCTTTTCACGCGACTCAACGGCAGATTCTTTTGTGTGGATGTTGACGAGTCAGCACTGTTAACAGATTCCTGCGGCGAAAGGTGGGGTAGCAGGGCGGCTGCCGGTGAAGAAGTATTTCTAAAACTTGCTATCCCGTAAGATCCAGAATCGCTAGAAGCATCCCCAATTTCAACTGTGTCAATACGGTCACCGGACATGGAGGAACCGGAGCTGAAAGAGTGCTTGGGCTGAATGTTAGCCTTTGCATTGGGAACTGGGAGTTCCTGCACACGTTTCTGCGCTTTGTGGACGACTTGAAGGATCCGCTCGCATTCCTCTTTGCGACCATACAAAGCAGTAGGTAAAGTAAAAAATGCGCTGACATCCCTCTGGGCGATCTGAAAGTTCTTGAGCGCTTCGGCGTCACCATCACCCAGTAGCTTGACTATCTTCTGCAAATCCATTTTGACGGAGGAAATGGTGTGATACCTGTCAGTTATTTGTTTTTGGGTCATCTTTTGAATCACGGCCGAGATTGCATCAGGTATATCCATCCGCCTACTTGTCACCGGGCTTAACCTTTTAGTTAAAACGTTTTGTACCACCTCAACTGGGTCATTTCCATCGAAGGCCGGTCTACCGGCAAGCATGGACCAAAAGAGCACACCAAGTGCATAGATGTCAGTCCGGCTATCAGGTTCCGTAAGGAGTCGTCCGGTTTGCTCTGGGGCAATAGACCGCAATTTGTCTTTTGCACCCGACTCCCTAGATAGCGTGGACCAGCCTTCACTAAGCGCGTTATCGAAAGATCTCGAGCCGTTTCCGGTATTCGAAAGCTTTACAGCCCCGGTTTCCCGGTTGAAGTAGAAAGCATCAGCTCGGATCTCGCCATGGACATTCTTCAAGCCGTAATGTAAAAGTTCTAGGCATTCGCAAGCACCGATGGCAAAATCTAGGAAGATAGACAACGGGATCTCACCCACGGGCGGAAATTTTGTAAGGTCATAATTCCCGTTGGTCTGATAGAACGCTGAGCCGAAGCTCACCAACTGGCCAAGGTAATTTGGGCCGGGGAATTCAAATATTGTCACCAGCAAGGATACGCGATGACCATGCTGGGCGGGCAAACGAATAATATCTATTGGACGAACTGTGTGTTTGCATTCCGGGTCTGACATGTCAATTATGGTCTTCATGGAATGATATTCTCGTTCCAAACGAATTATATGGCTCGATATACGCGCAACCACCGCAACGGAAACGTCGAGCTCCGTGCGAGGCGACGTAATCCCACTGCTTCCTTCACTCAGGCTACCCCGGCTATTATTGCGAGAAACCGAGCTCGAGTCCGATCTCTGGAGGTCCTGCGTGGTGTTGGAGTCTTTGGAAAAGGATGAAGACGAAGCTGGGGTCGATGAAAACGCGTCAGGCTCGGAGGAATGCTTCGTTCCCGTAACCTGCCAATGATCGTAAGAGGAGTGAACGGGCCGGAGACTCGTGTCCCACGTATATCCGGGGATATGTCCCAGACGTTCGAATAGCTGGTCGACAGTGAGAGGGAGATCCTCTCCTAGTATCCGATTGTCCTCCATCGCTCGTTACGAGGGGTGACGATGAGAGCGGGAACATAAGCATCAACGGGCAAGGGACGGGGAGAAGAGCAAGGGGGAAAAGATAAGAGATAAATCCTGCGATAACGAAAGTTGCAACCCCAAATCTAGTGCTTCCCTCATCGCACCTGTAAAGTCACCACTGTCGATATCGCAATCTTCTGTGTTCGGCTCTTCAGCGTGGTGCTCGGAGTTGGCTGGCGATCATCTGTGAAGAAAGAAGTGTGCAGGTGGTGGCTCTGATTGGTCTAGGCCTTGTTCGAGACGCAAAAAACTCGGTCTTGGCACGCTAGAGGCTCAGCATGCTGCTTTAGTACGCCGCTTATGTAATAATTAAGGCGGCTCGAAACAATTATGTAAGGAGGGCTTGGCGCACAAAGGGCGCCAATTCTGAGGAGCGGTGGATTTCATGGACAACTGTTCCCCGTCGATGCTCATTGTTCAATATACGACGAGTCGACGGCTGTGGCCTCTGCTTATAGAAGAACTACAGTGCGAGAATTGAAAACATGGACAATGATGGCTTAAAGAGGATGGTTACGAAGGCGCGCCGTCCTGGGCAGCGTTTACAACTGGTGAGCAACAGATTTCTTGCAGCTAACTACATAGAGATCTCGCAACACTCATCCCTTGAGCCCCGCCCCGCTCGTTGCTTCGTTCCGACTCGTTCATCAGGCTGATCTTTGAAGGATCATGTCGCATCGTCAGGTTGTTACTCATTACATCATACAAACATCCCTCCGTTAACTAGTCCCGGCTTATGTAAGTTGTTTCAACAGGTGGGCTTTTCTCTCATTTCCACCGAAGGACGTAATCGGGAGGACGCAAGGAGGCCTGAGATCAAAGCTCCTCCGATACTCCGTACAGAGTCGCAATGAGAGACCACGATCCATGCCTCAGGAGACCATTTGATTCAAAGGTTGTGTTGGGAGCCCTCTTCAATCTTTTCAGGTCGGTATTGTGAAAACCCAACCGGAGTGTTCCTTTCCGTTCTCCCAGGCGTTTTACCAAGACGCTGACAGAAACACTTGACCTTGACTAATTATGAAAAGCAACAATCCAAAGGCTTATTAGCGACCCTTATTCCTTACACCGCATCGTGCCTCACCGTCCTGAGCGTCAGCGTAAGGTGAAGTAACATACAATCTTACACAACAAGATACCACCGTATTTCTGAATTACAGCCTCCAATTGGATATAATCACGCCATCGGCGTCAAAACGTGGTTTGGCACGAAAGAAAGTTTCGGGTCTGCCTTCACCATCAGAGGTGCCATGGACTTGGGTTCGACTAAGTTGAACTAGCGCGCTTTAGTTTCAACTTCCTTGCATCGGCTTGACGGAAGAGGAGGATGCAAGGCAGGAAGTATGGTCAGTTCAATTCTCTGTTTTGTGCCTTCTAGCAGAGCCCTCGTCATGTACGACATCAAACTACTGGGGGGACGCGCTGTGGGAAAGTAAGGTTGCAGATAGCCACCGAAACCTAGGTTTCCCTGACCCATACACCTTGGCAAGGAACGAGTTCGCGGCGCTTGAAGCGAAGATGGCAGGAGGAATCCAGAAGGTGGCTCCATCTCGGCGGCAAATCAGCACTGAATGGGATATAAACTCCCGAGCTTGTTGCCTTGTTGTGATACAGACAGAACATAAGGATAAAAACTGGTCTCCGTCTGCTTTCTTCACGGACAAGTTGAGGATAAGCAATCTGGATGCTCTAGCACTGACCTCGAGCAGGCATTGCTTATACCATTCACTTGTTGTAGCCTCAATTCAACAATGTAAATTACCAACAAAGTCCCTGGAGCTGCTCTGGTTCATGGTGGAGTACCCGGCGGCAAAGTAGAATGTCAAATCAGATGGTCACGTCAGCCTGTTGTCCAGTTTGATAGACCCATACCAAAGCATCTGCTGGGCAGTGGAAACTGGAGGCGGGTTACCTTCCCATGTCCAAGCTTGACTCGCGTACGACAGTTCTCAAGCCGCAAAAACGCGGAAGAAGTCGCCCATCCAGGGCACAGTTCCAGCTCCGGATAGAAAAACAAGCGCCATGAATGGCGGCGCATCAACTGCACGTCAGATCAGAGCTCGAACCCATTCCCTCCATATGGTATCCACGGTAAGGAACGGAGTCCCACCGCAAGAGCTGTTGGCATCTCCGCGCTCTTGCTAGTAACTCACTGAAATCAGGATTTTCAAAGCAGCAACACGTCCTCGCGTCGTTTGTCGTCGTCAGTTCAGCCCTGAGAAAAGTGAGATGGGGTGGTAATTTATAGCTACAGCGTATTTCAATTCCGGGTTAGATTACAGCGTACCGTTGGTTGCAGCCCACAGCGTAACAACCCCACAAAAACGGCCAAATCTCAGCCATTGAATGTGCCCTGCTGACCTCATCCTGACAGAATTTACGAACGCTAAACACCGTGACCTGCATGTGTGCCGAGATTGGGTGTTTATCTTACCGTATTATGCCTGTCACGATGAATTTCGAGGAAGATCGTCCCCCTAATTCGTATCGAACAAGAACATCAATCTGTGAGCGCTTCCCATCACAGATCTGAGCACACATCCCGCACTCGCTTTCCAGTTCTTTGCCGTCGCCCCGATCGGATCCAGCCAAGGCAGCCGCCGTGAGTAGGCGCCAGAGAGTCTGCGAAACACAACGGCAGCTTCGACTGACTCGGGTGGTGGCTCGCTGGACGACCCTGCGGTTCTGAAGTGGCACTTTGACGTCATACCGCCAAGCCCCAGGAACACTAACTCAACGTACGGAGAACAAGAGACACTTTTGCATTCGCTGGGTCTTGTCTTCTCACTCTCAATGCCGAAAACAGCAACAGGCACGCCCGCTCACTTGTGCCCGAACCATCCCCCAGCTCCCCTTGCGCCGCCTTCGAATCACCGTCGCTCTCGTCGTTCGTGACTCTTGAGGGCTATGAAGGCCCCTTTCTCACTCTTCGCTATTCGAGTTTTCAGCAAGGATTCCGATTGGCATCAGGTCGTCGTGGTGCGGATTTAACCCTCGCTGCAAAGCATGCCACAATGCGTATGTCTGACCTCGCCTAGGGTGCTCTCCCTATTGTCCTGTTACACTGTCGAGTCTTGTAAGTATACATGCACTCATTCTAACCGGCAGCTTAGGGTCCTCCCGCCCTTCGATGAACCATGACGAGGTGTCGCAGGCTAACGAAGCCGCCACATCTCCCGAGGCCACCCGTCGCCCTGCTCATGAAACGTTGTCGAATACATCCGTTCAAGGCAATCGGCAGAGCATGCACACCATCGAGGAACTGCGGAAGAGGATGAAGGACAGAATTGCCCACCAACAGAGCCAGGTCAACCAACACCTCCATGAGCCACATTTACCAAGCCCTGATGCAGGATATACCCGGCCAACTTCGTCGCGCGAATTGAAATCAAATCCCTCCACACCACTGAGAGCTCCGACGTCCCCTCTCTTGGTGAAAACCGTGGGCAACTCCCACAAAAGGGCATCCTCCCAAGATATGGAATATCCTTTCCCATCAATAACACCAAAAGCTCCACTGGATCATATCGCAAGGTCGCGGGAGGATCCTCGAATGTTCAATCCGCAATCAGCTCGTGGTTCGCTCAAGAAAAAAGTGCGCAAGCGTCCCGATTCCCGTCAAGAGAGAACCCCTGCTGCACCGCCGAAACGTGAATTTTTACCCTCTGATGCCGCCAATGTTATGGAAGACCCGTATTACCCAAGTCCTAACTTATACGAATTAACTTTGAACTTGAATGCGGATGCAGGATTGGAGGGCTGGTGGTCAAATGTATCGCGACTGCTACGGCTGCATTATGGTGCAGAGCGAGCAAGCCTTGCAGTACCCGGCGATGCTACTGATCTGGAAAATGTTCCCTGGGGCCAAAAGGCGACATACAATCTGCATACTAAGGAGGTTGAATCGCCCACGACAGACAAAAAGCGGGATGTGCCTGAAGCCCTCCCGGGAAGCCCGTATCGCAAAAGTACCAAGTCCAAGGATTCAGAGTCCGCCGTGAATAATCCATTAAACTCCCTGAGACGCCCACAGATAACCACCCGTCATTCGTTTGCGGGCTATGGGACACTTCGGAATGATAGTGGGCGCCACGAACAAGAGCCCAAAGCAGCAAATATCAAGCCCGATGCTACAGGACGGCGAAGGAGTTTATCTGGAGCTTCGGAGAAGGTTACAAAGGGAAAATCAAATTCCGAACCTTTCAATGACCCGTCAACAACAACGCCAGCCCGCCACTTAGATCTTAATGATGAGCACGCCCATGGCGCTGGTCCTATAGCCACGGTTTTTCAAGTCCCCCGGAGCCTGGAAGCAGAGCCTGATCCGTTGATCAAACGAACTGGAATCGTGAAACTTTTTGGGCGGACACGACCGGCGGTACTCACTCGGGAATACGCCGAGGACCCAGCTGCGATCCATGAGTCCTCCTTACTACGCCATCATCACCGTCATAAGGATATCATCCAACACACACCCCGTGACGAGCATCCTACGAAAGCGTCAGCCCCCCATTCATCAATGTTAGCACGACGTCCATCCCAGAACCGTACTGGGATGGCGAAGGCGCCTCTGTCGGTTCTAGGGGAAGATGTTCAATCCGAGTACGTCCCCACTACAGAAGCCTATGAGGAATATGAACAAATGCCGCAATCACCTTGGTCCCAGTCCCCTGCTCCGTCCCCTGCCCCTCTAGCGAAACCAGATGAAAATCCGTTTTTCACCAATCCAGTGGTAGACGAAGATGCATTCGCTTCGAGCCCACCGCCTCATGACTACTCTGAAACCCAACCTCTACAGGCCATCGGCGTTGATTGGTCAAAAACGATCATCCACATACCATTACTGTATTCTCCGACTTCGAAACAACTGGACTCGACCACTCTAAGGTTTCCCGTCGCAATTATCTCGGTTCTATCACCCATCGTTCCTTATCCGTCAAATTTACGAACCTCACTAGCATACTTACTACCTCACTTTACAACCTCGTTTTGCTTAGCACATCAATACAGCCAGTTAGAGAAGCAGCTTTCGAATTCGTCTCTCGGAAGATATGGCCATCTTCTTGGACTTGGCGGAACCTTTTCTGATGAAGGAAGCGAACTTGAACTCGTTGCAGGATTGACCGGACAAGTCAACTTCCCCTCGGGGGAGGAGGGTGTTTCGGTCGGCCGTTCCGCTATTTCCAGTCCTGTTGCTCTATCGAACTTGACACGGTCAAATTCAGGCTTCTCGGCGCCTATTTTGGACTCTGGAAGTACGGGCTCAAGAAAGGATTCCTTCTTGAGCCCGGCAGCCCTAACTCAAGTTGGACCCGAACACGGTGACAGTTATTTCAGGTCAAAGCGACCTAGTCTCGCACCAAGGCAGCTTTCTAAATCTTCTCGTGATTCAAAAACAGGTGAAATCCCTTCAAGTCCACTGAGCCCGGAGCAACCGGAAAAAGTCCCTGATGACGACCTAACCCCAAAAGATACAGCATCGGTTTCTGATATCTCACAAGTCTGGGGACAGCAATCTCGTCATTCATCATCTACTTCTATTGCCACACAATTGCAGCGTGACCTTCAATGTCGCCCTTTCTCCGATACGATAGCACAACTGATGCTTAATTCAGTGCCACTGCATCTCTTTTTGGCAAAACCTTCTACTGGCGAGGTGATTTGGACAAATACCAAATTCGACGCTTATCGAAGACACCCCCAGGAACCACGGATCAAAGATCCGTTCCAAAACGTCCACGAGAGCGAATATAATAATGTAATCAAGGAATGGACAAAAGCGTTACGAACGGGGTCTCAATTCACGGAACGTGTCCGCGCAAAGCGATTGAACGATGAGGCTACGTATCGTTGGTTTATTTTTCGGGCAAATCCTTTGATATCGTCCACTGGAGAACTTCTCTACTGGATTGGCTCGTTCTTGGACGTACATGAACAGCATATGGCGGAATTGAAGGCCGCACAAGAACGAGAAACCTTTGCAACTGATGCAAAATATAGGGCTTTGGCCAATTCGATCCCCCAGGTTGTATTTGAAGCCGCTGAATATCGAGGGCTTATCTCGGCAAACCAACAATGGGAGTGGTATACTGGCCAGTCTCTTGAAGAGGCTAAAAACTTGGGCTTCGCAAAACATATTCATCGAGATGATCTCAAGAAATGTGGCATCCTTACGCCGCCACACGTTATCCCGGAGTCAGTCAGTGCCACCGAATTTGGTCACATTATGTCTGATCCCCAGGTGCTTCAGTCAGAATTACCATCAGGGCAAACCGCTTCGTCGCCTGTGCCACCAACACCTGGTGAAAGCACACCAAACATTGAACGTCGTTATGGCCGCGGTGTAACCGAGGCCCTTCAAGATCTGGTTCGGCGAGGCGTTGTTACCCTCCAGTGCGATGAGAATGGCCGCGATTTCTATACCACTGAAATCAGGTTCCGGTCAAGGAAAGGAGATTTCCGCTGGCACTTGGTTAGGCTGGTCAAGGTGGAAATGGCCGGTTTTGGAGGCGGGGAAGCATCGTGGTACGGGACTTGTACCGATATCAACGATCGAAAGCTTCTGGAAAGGGAGTTGAATTCGGCCATGCAACAATTAAATCGCGAGATGGAATCAAAAACTAAATTTTTTACGAATATGTCCCATGAAATCCGAACGCCACTGAACGGAATACTGGGCACGATTCCGTTTATTCTCGATACGCAGTTGGATAGTGACCAGCGGCGAATGCTTGATACCATTCAGAATAGTTCGACCAATTTGCGTGAGCTTGTGGACAATATACTTGACGTGTCCAAGGTTGAAGCGGGAAAGATGAATATTCTCAAACAGTGGTTTCATGTCCGTTCTACGCTCGAAGACGCTATTGATACGATTGCGTCTAGAGCCATCGACAAGGGCTTGGAATTGAACTATGTCTTCGAACCTGATGTGCCTTCGATGGTATTTGGTGATAGGTTCCGAATCCGCCAAATTCTTATTAACCTGATTGGAAACGCTATCAAGTTCACGGCCCAGGGCGAGATCTTTATTCGCTGCTCCATTTACCACGACCCAGACCGCAAACTTGAAGGGTCAGACCTTTTCCTCAATTTCGAGGTTATCGACACAGGCAAGGGATTTAGCGTGAGAGATGCTCAGTTGCTGATGCAGAGGTTCAGTCAAATTGAAAATAAAGACGCTCCACAGCATGCAGGAAGCGGGTTAGGTCTCTTTTTATCGAAGCAGATCGCGGAGATGCATGGCGGACGGCTGACGCCGACAAGTATGGAAGGCCGGGGAGCGAAATTCTCTTTTTATGTCAAAGTCAGCTCGGCGTCGGCAACATTGCCAGAGAATGTAGAATCCTCTGAAAGGAAACTACCTACGCGGCTTGTCTCGGAAACCATTGTTGAGAGCCCAGTGGCCAGTCAGCCCTCTAGTACGCAATCAGAACTCAGCCCTGGTTCAGCCAACTCGGGTAGCTACATTTCTGCACGCTCTGGGTCATCTGGTGTGGTGACATCTGATCCTTCCAGCAAACGCAAACCAGTGCGACTCGATCCTACAGTACAAGATCTACGCTCTGCAAAGAAAAATTATCTAAATCAGCTGTCAGCCTCGAGCCCTACGACCGGGAGTGCTGCAGATACTCAGGTCGAAAGGGGAAAGCCTGAGCCCGCATTGGTATCGCCTCATCCTACGACATATTCGGTGCTCATAATCTGTCCATTTGACTATGCGCGTGAGGCCATCACGCAGCATATCCAGCAAGTTATTCCGTTGGATATTCCAGCTGGGGTGACTTCAATACTTGATTTGGATGACTGGAAGGACCTGCTTAGCAACGACGAGTCACTCAATCTTACTCATTTGGTGCTGAATTTACCCGACGTGAACGACGTAAAGGAAGTGATGCAGAATGTGCTCCAATTAGAGGCAATCTGCTCGCCGACTCTTGTCATTGCCGCAGATGCGTACTTGAAGCGCGAGATCATCAAATCCTGCGACAGGTTCATGTCTGCAGGGAAAGAAGTTTTCATAGTGCCTAAACCGCTGAAGCCTTCTCTCTTTTCGCAGATCTTTGACCCGCTCAGCAAACGCGAGCTTAGCAAAGATAGAAACCAGGCTATAGCTCGGGCGATGGACAATAGCTTCAAGACCATGTCGAAGCTAGTCAAGGAGATGATCGGGAACAAGGGACATCGTGTTCTGCTTGTTGAGGACGATGAGACCAACCGAGCGGTAGGTCGGCCGATGGTTGTTGACTGTCGAAGCTGTTACTAAGATGTCTCGTAGGTGATGTTGAAATACTTGGAGAAGGTCAAACTCATGTCAGAGACGGCGGCCAATGGCCAAGAATGCATCGACATGGTATTCTCGAAGGAACCGGGATACTATTCCCTAATCATTGTAAGTGTAGCGTTCCAGGCTTGAGTTTCCGTTTTAACAGACTGTTTCTTCAGTGCGACATACAGATGCCGATCATGAATGGGTATGAAACGTGTCGAGAGATCCGATCTTGGGAGGCAAAGCATCATTTCCCGCAGATCCCAATCATGGCGCTCTCCGCGAATGCGATGACCGATCAGATCGACAATGCCGTGCAGGCAGGGTTCAACGACTATGTCACGAAACCCATCAAGCACAACGAGCTTGGGCAGATGATGATGGCGCTGCTGGAGCCACAGGCGACGCGGATTCTCCTCGAGGGCAGGAGGGCATGACCTTTTTCCAGCAGTGTGCTCTGGTTCATTTATATTTTTTCCTTTTCTTCCATTTGTCTGGTGCATCGGACGGGTGTCTGGCGGTATCGGCATAAACGGAGGGGCCACCGGTATCGGCACGGTGAAAAAAAAAGACAACAAATGGCGTTTTGATATGCGATTCATGGGGGTGGTTGTTAATTATACCGGTACTTGCAGGTTATGCTTACGGCCTTGGATGGTCTGAAATGTTATTGCAGCGCCTTGTTTTGTCATTGCTGGTCGCCGCGAAGAACCATGATGCCATTATTACTTGGTTAATTCGGCGTGACTTGCATTTGTTCTTCTGGAAATGTATAGATATGATTATGCCTGAATGCAGCGTTTTACAGATTATCATGTAGCACTTTGCGTCATCCTACCTTTCTCCGGCCAAAAGCCCGAAATCGCTTGATGCCTCCATCCGGGACCATGGTCAGTTTCAGATGCGTGAAGCCGGTTACGGACCTGGTCGCGGGGGCCAGGTCGTCGCCGTCAAAGACATGCTCGGCATCCGCCCTGCACGGCCGGTCTCCGCTGACCACTTCGACCCAGTCCGGGTGGTCATGGGCGGGATCCTCCGGGCCAGAGCACGCGATGCCATGGACGCGCACGGCCTGCGGGAAGTTGCCGCGAAAGTCCTTTGTATCGACGACGATGCGCTCGACGGAGCCGGGCAGAGCGAGCCTGACGACGGCCCAGTCGACGTGTCCGGGGCGGCGGGAGCGGGCGGTCTCCCAGCCGTCGCCCATGTTGATGCCGCGGCCGGGCAGGAGTAGGTTCGCGGCGGGGGTGAAGTGCTGGTTGCTGGCGGCGGTGACGAGGGCGCCGTAGAGGGCGGAGGAGAGCTCCTCGAGGGGTGTGGATGTTATGGTGACAGGGAGGGAGGGCGGGAGGGCGTGGCCGTAGAGGCGGAGGCGCGCGATGCCGCCGTCGGGATACATCCGCAGACGCACATGGAGCAGGCAGAGGCGCTACAGGCCAGCGTGCGGGGCGAGGCGCAGCTGATGGCAGATGTGTCAGATAGTCGGCGAGAGCGCTGTCATATCATCGTCGTCGTCGTGAGATGGCGCTCGACGAGCACTTGTC